GAGCTAGAAGCACAAGCATTTCGCTACACCCACAATAACTTCTGCTAAACACATATATGTGACCAATACAATTGTATTTTATTTTATTAGAATCAGCTCACTGAAGCTGGCCGTTTTAACAGACTTTTACTCAAGTATAATTTTTCTGGGTGACTTTTTCTTGAGTCATTTTCTATTAAGGTATATTTTACTTTTACTCAAGTATGACAATTGGATACTTTTTCCACCACTGCCTTTTGGAAGCTCCATATGCGACTATCACCGGCTTCCTCGCAACATACCAGAAAGTGTTTTACTATTTTCATTAACGTTGTAGACCAGACTGGATCGCCTTCAACAGAACAGGTATGTTGAACTTTTAGTGTCAGTGTGGTAACGTTTCTTTTGAGGGGGATTTCAAAGATTTATGAATTGCGTTGAAACTGGTTTTCTAAACATATCCTCCTTTGCAGTAAATAAAGGAATTATTCCTTGATTAATTCCTTGGCTAATTGCATCTCTCTGGCTCAGCCATAACGCCACTGTCCATACCACACTATGGTTTGAGTTTTTTGCAGTTTTAGTGTTGAAATTCTGAATGACATCCATGTGAAAAAACCCAACAGAATGTAGCTAATTAGCTGCTGATGTTGAATCCGCCCCCCTTTTCTGTGTTGGTGTCGTATATTGATTACGTGGAAGAAAGTTGTTGAAACCGAAACAAGTAGCTGACTCGGGCTCTTTCAAACGTATTTGCACTCTTAGCTAAATGTTTATTTTAAGTGAAAATGAGCGCAACATACAAAACCTTGTTCGGATGTGTTTTGATATCGAGTGTTCTTGTGAACGCGCTCGGTTCAATCTCTGCAATGTTAGTCGGTGCGGGACTTGGAGGAGTAGCAGTAGCAGCAGTATATCGTTATTTACTTGAAAGTGAAAGTTGTAATTCAAAATGGACTCATTTTAATTCAACAAGTATGTGCACAGCTAAACTGTTATGGTTGATATTTTGTCATGGTCTACTTGGGCTATTTGGTACTCCACTGATCGTGTAGACAGTAGCTATGTTTCCATTAATGCAGCAATATGTAACTTTGGGCGACCCGACCAAATTCACAGAAATGTGTTGTATATGTATGTGTAAATATATATGTGTGTGTATATATACAGTGGGGAGAACAAGTATTTGATACACTGCCAATTTTGCAGGTTTTCCTACTTACAAAGCATGTAGAGGTCTGTAATTTTTATCATAGGTACACTTCAACTGTGAGAGACGGAATCTAAAACAAAAATCCAGAAAATCACATTGTATGATTTTTAAGTAATTAATTTGCATTTTATGGCATGACATAAGTATTTGATACATCAGAAAAGCAGAACTTAATATTTGGTACAGAAACCTTTGTTTGCAATTACAGAGATCATACGTTTCCTGTAGGTCTTGACCAGGTTTGCACACACTGCAGCAGGGATTTTGGCCCACTCCTCCATACAGACCTTCGCCAGATCCTTCAGGTTTTGGGGCTGTCGCTGGGCAATACGGACTTTCAGCTCCCTCCAAAGATTTTCTATTGGGTTCAGGTCTGGAGACTGGCTAGGCCACTCCAGGACCTTGAGATGCTTCTTACGGAGCCACTCCTTAGTTGCCCTGGCTGTGTGTTTCGGGTTGTTGTCATGCTGGAAGACCCAGCCACGACCCATCTTCAATGCTCTTACAGAGGGAAGGAGGTTGTTGGCCAAGATCTCGTGATACATGGCCCCAACCATCCTCCACTCAATACGGTGCAGTCGTCCTGTCCCCTTTGCAGAAAAGCATCCCCAAAGAATGATGTTTCCACCTCCATGCTTCACGGTTGGGATGGTGTTCTTGGGGTTGTACTCATCCTTCTTCTTCCTCCAAACACGGCGAGTGGAGTTTAGACCAAAAAGCTCTATTTTTGTCTCATCAGACCACATGACCTTCTCCCATTCCTCCTCTGGATCATCCAGATGGTCATTGGCAAACTTCAGACGGGCCTGGACATGCGCTGGCTTGAGCAGGGGGACCTTGCGTGCGCTGCAGGATTTTAATCCATGACGGCGTAGTGTGTTACTAATGGTTTTCTTTGAGACTGTGGTCCCAGCTCTCTTCAGGTCATTGACCAGGTCCTGACGTGTAGTTCTGGGCTGATCCCTCACCTTCCTCATGATCATTGATGCCCCACGAGGTGAGATCTTGCATGGACCCCCAGACCGAGGGTGATTGACCGTCATCTTGAACTTCTTCCATTTTCTAATAATTGCGCCAACAGTTGTTGCCTTCTTACCAAGCTGCTTGCCTATTGTCCTGTAGCCCATCCCAGCCTTGTGCAGGTCTACAATTTTATCCCTGATGTCCTTACACAGCTCTCTGGTCTTGGCCATTGTGGAGAGGTTGGAGTCTGTTTGATTGAGTGTGTGGACAGGTGTCTTTTTATACAGGTAACGAGTTCAAACAGGTGCAGTTAATACAGGTAATGAGTGGAGAACAGGAGGGCTTCTTAAAGAAAAACTAACAGGTCTGTGAGAGCCGGAATTCTTACTGGTTGGTAGGTGATCAAATACTTATGTCATGCAATAAAATGCAAATGAATTACTAAAAATCATACGATGTGATTTTCTGGATTTTTGTTTTAGATTCCGTCTCTCACAGTTGAAGTGTACCTATGATAAAAATTACAGACCTCTACATGCTTTGTAAGTAGGAAAACCTGCAAAATCGGCAGTGTATCAAATACTTGTTCTCCCCACTGTGTGTGTGTGTATATACAGTCATGGCCAAAATTGTTGGCACCCCTGAAATTTTTCCAGAAAATGAAGTATTTCTCACAGAAAAGTATTGAAATTACACATGTTTTGCTATGCACATGTTTATTTCCTTTGTGTGTATTGGAATAACACAAAAAAAACAGGAAAAAAGCAAATTTGACATAATTTCACACAAAACTCAAAAAATGGGCCGGACAAAATGATTGGCACCCTTAACTTAATATTTAGTTGCACACCCTTTGGAAAAAATAACTGAAATCAGTCGCTTCCTATAACCATCAATAAGCTTCTTACACCTCTCACCCGGAATTTTGGACCACTCTTCTTTTGCAAACTGCTCCAGGTCTCTCATATTGGATGGGTGCCTTTTCCCAACAGCAATTTTAAGATCTCTCCACAGGTGTTCAATGGGATTAAGATCTGGACTCATTGCTGGCCACTTCAGAACTCTCCAGCGCTTTGTTGCCATCCATTTCTGGGTGCTTTTTGAAGTATGTTTGGGGTCATTGTCCTGCTGGAAGACCCATGATCTCGGACGCAAACCCAGCTTTCTGACACTGGGCCCTACATTGCGACCCAAAATCCTTTGGTAATCCTCAGATTTCATGATGCCTTGCACACAGTCAAGGCACCCAGTGCCAGAGGCAGCAAAACAACCCCAAAACATCTTTGAACCTCCACCATATTTGACTGTAGGTACTGTGTTCTTTTCTTTGAAGGCTTCATTACATTTTCGGTAAACAGTAGAACGATGTGCTTTACCAAAAAGCTCTATCTTGGTCTCATCTGTCCATAAGACGTTCTCCCAGAAGGAATTTGGCTTACTCATGTACATTTTGGCAAACTGTAGTCTTGCTTTTTTATGTCTCTGTGTCAGCAGTGGGGTCCTCCTGGGTCTCCTGCCATAGCGTTTCATTTCATTCAAATTTCGACGTATAGTTCGCGCTGACACTGATGCACCCTGAGCCTGCAGGACAGCTTGAATTTCTTTGGAACTTGTTTGGGGCTGCTTATCCACCATCCGGACTATCCTGCGTTGCAACCTTTCATCAATTTTTCTCTTCCGTCCACGTCCAGGGAGATTAGTTGCATGGGTTGCAAACTTCTTGATCATGTTGCGCACTGTGGACAAAGGAACATCTAGATCTCTGGAGATGGACTTGTAACCTTGAGATTGTTGATATTTTTCCACAATTTTGGTTCTCAAGTCCTCAGACAGTTCTCTTTTCCTCTTTCTGTTCTCCATGCTTAGTGTGGCACACACAGAAACACAATGCAAAGACTGAGTCAACTTCTCTCCTTTTTATCTGCTTTCAGGTGTGATTTTTAGATTGCCCACACCTGTTACTTGCCCCAGGTGAGTTTAAAGGAGCATCACATGCTTGGAACAAACTTATTTATCCACAATTTTGAAAGGGTGCCAATAACTTTGTCCGGCCCATTTTTTTAGTTTTGTGTGAAATTATGTCAAATTTGCTTTTTTCCTGTTTTTTTTTGTGTTATTCCAATACACACAAAGGAAATAAACATGTGCATAGCAAAACATGTGTAATTTCAATACTTTTCTGTGAGAAATACTTCATTTTCTGGAAAAATTTCAGGGGTGCCAACAATTTTGGCCATGACTGTATATATATATGTATATGTGTATATATATATATATATATGTGTATATATATATATATATATATGTATATTTCATTCTCATTGAAAGCAACCGACTGTGTCATTGCGTTTTGGTACACCAGAAGTACATTCATTTCCAATGGAATGCAGCGTTTGCCTCGCAGCGTTGCAGAGGCAGTTGCAATGCGTTCTGTGTGGTACATACGTTAGATTTATCGAACATATGCGTCAAACTGTATGCTTTAAAGGGTTGACAGAAATGGTAGCAGAAGGTGAATGTTGAACTTTTATTGCACACATATCAAGATGATGCTGCATACTATTTTGCGCATGACACAGTCGGTGTGTTCGAAGCGTTACACACCGACTGTGTCATTGCGTTTTGGTACACCAGGAGTACATAAATCTAACGTATGCGCCACACAGAACGCACTGCAACTGCCTCTGCAACGCAATGCTGCAAGGCAAACGCAGCGTTCCATTGGAAATGAATGTACCTCATGTATTACTAATCACATGTTATGAAAATTACCACCTATCCCCATGGATCATTTGAATCGAAATTATGATGGTGGTGTATTAATGATCACTTTCTGCCCCATCAGGTTTGGAATTTGACCTAGATCATAAGCTGTTTGGTCAACATGTTGCCTCCAGAGTTATCCTGAAAGCTGTAACGGGTTTCATGAACAATAAAAACCCTAAAAAGCCCCTGGTGCTTTCTCTACATGGCTCGACTGGCACAGGGAAGAACTTTGCCAGCGAGCTGATAGCTGAAAACATCTATAAGGAGGGCATGGCCAGCAGTTTCATCCACCAGTTTGTATCTACAGTTCACTTCCCCCATCAGAGAAAGATTGAGAACTACAAAGTAAATTGCTATAATTTTGTTATTCCTTTACACAGTAAAGTAATTTAAGTATTATTAGGAAGGAAATTCACAGTAATAAAAAGCTGTAAGATATAGGATGTAAATGTCTTTTGTGGCTGTGCTGGAAGTTATTCTCCACAGCTCTAGATAAGTCTGTTTATACTGTTGTATTCATCCCCATTCCCCAGTCAAAGCTGAAGCAGTGGATCAAAGGCAACGTCACCATCTGCCCACGCTCCATATTCATCTTTGATGAGATGGACAAGATGCAGCCAGGTCTGATCGACAGTATAAAGGCCTACCTGGACTACTACAAAAATCTGGACGGGATCTCCTACCGCCATGCCATCTTCATCTTCCTCAGGTAGGGGAGACAGACCAGCGGTGTGTGTTTAAGAAATCATGTGTTGTTTTTTATACTTTTATACTATCATTTTTAAAACTGGATCTATAGTCATCCATTATCCTATCTTTACCAGTATTCTATTTAGCTGAAAGTCAGCTGTCAATAAGAAATCTAATAATGCGAAATTAAAGTTTTTATTTCTTATGTCTTAATATTTACTGTGTGTTTAAGGCACTGCATCGCAGTGCTTGAGGCTTCACTACAGCCCCGGGTTCGATCCCAGGCTGTGTTACAGCCGGCTGTGACCGGGAGACCCATGAGGCGGCGCACAATTGGCCCAGCGTCGTCCGAGTTAGGGGAGGGTTTGGCAGGCCGGGATTTCCTTGTCCCATCGCGCTCTAGTGACTCCTTGTGGCGGGCCGGGTGCCTGCAAGCTGACTTTGGTCGCCGGTTGGACGGTGTTTCCTCCGACACATTGGTGCGGCTGTCTTCCGGGTTAAGCGAGCAGTGTGTCAAGAAGCAGTGCGGCTTGGCAGGGTCGTGTTTCGGAGGACGCATGGCTCTCGACCTTCGCCTCTCCCGAGTCCGTAGGGGAGTTGCAGTGATGGGACAAGACTGTAACTACCAATTGGATATCACGAAAAGGGGGTAGAAGTACCCCAAAAAATATTTACTGTGTGTTGATCATCTCCATAGCAACGCTGGAGGAGAGAAAATCATGCAGGTGGCCCTGGACTTCTGGAGAGCAGGGCGAGACCGAGAGGAAATGGAGCTGAAAGATCTGGAAACAGCGCTCTCCCTGTCCGTGTTCAACAACAAGCAGAGTAAGACACCTGTTCACTACTGTAGATGCACTGTTGTAACTCATTCTCGTATTTAACAAATCATGCATTGAAAGATCAAATCACACGTGTGTCTAACGTTAAGATCCGTCCCTTTTGGGTTTTTTATCCTGGGTTTAGAAAACAGGAGGCTTTTTAGACCTCAAATACAAAAATCCCCAGTGTTCTTATTTATTCTGTCCATCCATGTTTCTTGTCCCTAACCCATCTTATGACTGTCTCACTCCAACCTCTCTCTCTCTTTAAAGGTGGGTTCTGGCACGCCAGTCTGATAGACAAGAACCTGGTGGACTTCTTTGTCCCCTTCCTGCCTCTGGAGTACAAACACGTTCTGCTGTGTGGCATGGCTGAGATGGCCGCCAAGGGCCTGAAGCCCAACCATGACGTGGCCGCCCAGATGGCCAGAGAAATGATTTACACCCCCAAAACAGAGAAGCTCTTCTCCGTAAAGGGCTGCAAGACCATCAGCAGCAAGCTGGACTACTACACATAGACTGCGTTGCAGTTGGCGGCTGTGGAGTGAACAATTTACGAATCATAATGAGTAGTAACTTAGGATGAAAGGGGATTTGTTGGTCTGATCAGTCAGTCTGCAGTCGCCAACGGAAATTTAGTTGATTTCAAAGAGGGAACAGCTATCTATCTACCGCCTACTCTACTGTGTGGACTTTCTTAATGAGAACATCTCCGCCAGTCGGAGGGAGGAAGTCAGTGACAAAGTGGATGACCCTCAGGTATCCTAACCTCAACACAACCATGTGGAGGACATCAACGGGCTTGCGCTGATGTCACTTTTCCCTGAATAGTAATGAATGGACTACTGAGATCCCAGCTGCTCGATCCCAACTTTTATGTATTCTGTAAATGAGAATCTCCAAAAACATGTTCCTTTTTTTTTTTCAGGGAATTCAAATCAAAGTTGATTTGTTTGTATACACAGATTTGCAGATGTTATCGCATGTGCAGTGAAATGCTCGTGTTTCTAGCTCCAACAGTGCAGTAATACCTAGCAATAAAAACATTGTAAATACAATACACATAATCCAAAACATAAACAATTTTTTAAATCATAGCTCAATATTAGAAAGATGTTCCTAATGTTTGTGTTACGAACCCCGTGGCTTTAAACGTCTAGGGTGGATGGACATGAGACCCGTAACATAATTCATGCAAATTAGGATGATGACATGGAACAGTGAGAACAAAAAAACTACACGACAACCATATCTACCGTCAAACATAAAAGGTTTATTGCTGAACACACTGTAAAGGTTTGGGAAAAAGGGCTGAGCAGGACCCAAGAAATGAAACAACAGTGTAAAAAAAACCTAAACTGATCTTGCCTGCCTCAAGAACCGCTAAGCTACTGCTAATCATTCAAAAGTACAGTGGGTGGTCCGCTCAGGTCTAACTAGTGTTTTTAGACAGATTTCTTCCTACGGGTAATGTACGCCCAAGGGCAACTAGCTTAAACTCCCCTTTTCCCAGAAACACACACAGTTACCAAACAGAGTAATCAGCAAATTAGTGAGTACACAGGACACCACAGTATCCATACTCACATAGGGAAAATAGTCTCTAACAAAGTTACCAAACAGAGTAACCAGCAACTTGGTGAGTAAACAAAAAACAGGACACCACAGTATCCATACTCACATACGGAAAATAGTCTTTCTCTCTAACAACAAACACAACTGACCGGCTTTTATTCAATGGGATGTGTGATTGAAAAACCAGCAACAGGTGGTGCAATGCAGAGGAATGTTCACTGATTGGTCCACCTTAGCAATCAGCAGACACCTCAACGACCACCAATCAGGAACATACAGGACACCTGTTATTAGGGCAGAAGGAGAGGAAACACAAAAAGACACAGGATACCTGTATCCGTAACAGTTTGGTATGTATACTCAGTGTAGATTAAGTTAATGTGCAGCAGAATACCAAAGTGGTAAGTGAAAACTAGTTGTGTATAAGAAACAAATGTGGTTTAAAGCTACAATCTGTAATAATTTTTTTCATCCAAACGGATTGTCGTCAATACCTGGTCTACCAAAACCTTTTAAAAAATCTGCCTTAATACTTGCATCTATTTTGCCTTTGGTTTTAATCCTTAATTATTCACGTGAAGCATTGTGTACATTATAAAAACTGCTGTAAGTTTAACTTTGTGGGTATACAAGTATATAGTGGTCAGTCCACCAACTTTTTCATTTTTCCTAAATAATTGAATTGAGTAGTCTTAACAACCATTCCTTGACAATGTCTCTGGAGCGAAGTAAATCCAAATGGAATGTGTTTTAATATAAGCCACAATTAAACAATTGTATGATTTATTTTCAGTTGGCATTCGGCTGTTCCTGGTTTAAATGCACAAAATCATTACGGGAAGGAAGGTTCACTATTTGTCATTTAAATGTTTGTACAAAAACTTTTGTTTTACTTTTGTTTGAGTAAATGAAAAATCAAAGGTTGAAGGAAATGTAAGAACTCCTACTGTGAAGTCAACCCCGAAGGAGGCACCAAACACTATATATTTCTACATTTTACTCTAAGCTCAGAACTACAATAAATCTCAAAGCATTCTAGCTTGCTCATTAATGTGTTATTCATGCAAGTCAATAACAAATTAACTGTGATTTTGGTCAATGGACATGTTGTAGGCTTGTCTGATGTAGTCAATCTGTAATATTATCATCTCCACTCTCACCGAAAGTATTGGGACATTCACTTGTGTGTATTAAAGTAGTCAAAAGTTTAGTATTTGGTCCCATATTCCTAGCACACAATGATTACAAGAAGCTTGTGACTCTTCAAACTTGTTGGATGCACTTGTTTGTTTTGGTTGTGTTTCAGATTATGTGGTGCCCAATAGAAATCTATGGTAAATATGGTATTGTGTCATTTTGGAGTCACTTTTAATGTAAATAATTGAATATTTTTCATAACACTTCTACATTCATGTGGATGCTACCATGATTACAGATCGTCCTGAATGAATTGTGAATAATTATGAGTGAGAAAGTTACAGAAGGACAAGTATCATACCCCCAAGACATGCTAACCTCTCACCATTACAATAAAAGCGGAGGCTAGCATTTTTTGTGGGGGTAGTAGGATATTTATGCCTCTTTCTCACATTATTCACAATTCATTCAGATTATGCGCAATCATGGTAGCATCCACATTAATGTAGAAGTTTTCATAAACATATTCTATTCTTATTTACATTAAAGTGACTCTACTAGGACCTTCACGTTCTCCATAGATCCCCCCTGTGTAGAGCTGAAGGAGCCCCACAGCCAATCTCCCTACAGACTACCCTTGCAACCTGCCAGTCAGTCAGCTTCACACACCGAGGCCCAGGATTGATTGGACTTCACCTCCACTCTCCCAGCGCACCTCGGACCTGATCCATTTTCAAGCCTCACAGTCGAGGCAGATCACATTGGCATCATTTTAATTTGGTTTTTGAATAACACTGACCAACAGTAGACTAATCTCCTCTGCACCCAGCTCCATATAATAGTCTTTCTATCGCTCCCTTTCCAAACTGTGGTTCGTCTGGACACCAACAGCTCCCACAGCCAAGCTGTCTACACACCCTTGTTGCAGCCATCATGTCCCAATGAAAGCCACATACTGTCATCCATTTTCCTTTGTTAAGGACTAACACTCTCCCAGAGCACAGGCTGGTCCCATTCTGAAGTCAGACTGTGCCTTCTGGTGGCTGGTCTAACTGAGCCTGGAGAAACAACCACCAGGTCTTAATCCTTGATGTGATGGGAAGTCATTAATTGGTGTAACACCCATTCCACCCTCACAGTATGTGTTAGTGAATGCATGTGTGACACCAAAAGCCCTAGTATACCGTCAAGTTTTAAATATACTAAACATATATAAGATAGCCCTGTATGCACTTAAACATGTGTTTATCAGTTTAACAGCCCTACATACAATAACACAGGTTTATATCAGTATAACAGAATCCTACCTGTCCTCAAGCAGATGATCATCAATATCACTGCAGGTATCATATTGGTCTTAAACTGGGGCTCCACTGAGCTGTGTTAGCCTGCTGTCAGAATACTTTTCTGAGGAGTGGAGGGGACTGGCTATCATTCTCCCTTTCTCACACTAATAACACCATCCTTTTTCACACTCATTGCGCTTAATCAGTATAATCTGTTTTGAACCCCCCCCCCCCCCCCCCCCCCAACGCTGCAATCCTCTCAGAGCGCAGTCACGTATGAATGTTGTTGTGAAGCAATTTGCAACCAAGAAAAACAAATCAGAAGAACGATTTATATGACAACTGTATTTGACAAACATTTTAAAAAAAACATTATTTAGTCACATTCCTTTGAGTACGTTTCAGAATTTAGTTACGAGACACCTTGATGCAAAATATGCCATCTGATCTTTTCTGGGCTTTCGTGATTATCTCCATGGCTGGACACACGGTTTAAACACAGATGTCCGTTATTCCATGCCAGCCGTAACTGTATGTTACAGGCACAGTCTGTGTAGAGGGGCGGTTTCCCAGACACAGATGAAGCCTAGTCCTGGACTATAAAGCAAGGTCAATGGAGTCTCCAATGAAAATGCTTTTTAGTCCAGGATTAGGCTTCATCTGTGACCGGGAAAACGTCCCATAGAGTTCTTCATTTACACCAGTAGTACAGCATTAATGCAGCCGTCGTTCTCTGGGTTATTTGTCACCTGGGCGTATTTACCTGAGGAGGAGAAAAAAAAGATGCATTTTAATCTTAATTTCAGAAATGGAATTGCACTGACAGATTGTATGCAGTTGTTTATATTAGTGTTGTCAGGAGTGAAATAAAGCTAATACATTGTCATCACTGATTATTCTTTACTTTGATTAGAAGACTGGTGTGGCCAGATGTTTCTGCACCGTTTCATAAAAGTATGCATCTCCTTGTGGCAATGTCAGACAAACACCAACCCAACCCCCACAATTCTAGCAGCTATGCAGCCCCCTGGTTAAATAAATCAAATATATAGGGCCGGTTTCCATAGTCGTGGACTAAGAAGCATGTTTAATGGAGAATCTCCATGGAAAGTGCGTTTTAGTCCAGAACTAGGCTTAATCTGTGTCTGGGAAACCGGCCCATACTGATCCAGATAAATATCAATAGGCGGCCATGTGAGAAGACAGGAGATGACTCACCCCAGATGACCTTTCCCCCCTGCGTTACCAGGCCCAGCTCGCTGACGTTGACCTCTACCACGGTTCCCTTGGTGATGACCCCCAGGGTGGTGTAGAGGGGTGACGAGGGGTTCTTCTTCACCCCCAGGATGGGAAGACAGAACGTGGCCTTCAGCTCCGGGTGGGTCACATGGGCCTTTTTGAAACGTAGACCCTGAAGAAAGGAAGTGACAGAGGCGGGTGGGGACAGTTATTGAGTTATTTCAGGCCATTTCGTTTTTTATAGTCTTAAAGTAGTAGGAACGTCATTGAAATAAAGGGAGAAAGCAGCTCAACACTGAGCCCACTGGAGGAAGTTTGCCAATGACCTTTGGTCCCCAAAGAGCAAAAGGATTTAAGTCAAGTTGTTTTACCTAATTTAGTTGAATGCACTGGTTGTAACTAAGTCTCTCTAGACAGTAGTCTGATAAATGTGTTAAATATAGTCAAAGTTACTCTGATGCTCACACAGTGATAAGGAGGGTGTTTACACATCAGAGTTTCAATCCAACCTTGCAACTACCTGAGAAAGGCGTCAACATGCCAAATACTGTATATTAGAGAATACATGCATACATATACACACATTAAGGGCTGGACGATATATCGAATTAACTTCATTAACTTGAATGTATGTTTTTCGCGATATTCCAAATGGCTGTATCGCAGAATTGTTTTAATCCGCTTGTTCTCATGTTGTCTTTTAGGTCTTGTCTCGTTCGCTCCTTCTGTGCAACTTTACATTTACACCAGAGATCTGTTCATAATGACGAGATACTCATGTATCCGCCCTAACAATGGGGGTGTTGTCCCAAAGGCGGGAAGGAACGCGACAAGCGTAGGTTCAAAATAAGCACATAGAATCGCATTGGGCTTATTTTGGACAGATTTTGGCGAGAGTGAAACCTCTCGCTTTGCCTCTTTCTCCCAAGCTCCTCCCCCTACCAAAATCAAATTTGATTTGCCACATGCGCCGAATACAACAGGTGTAGACCTTACAGTGAAATGCTTACTTACAAGCCCTTAACCAACAATGCAGTTAAGAAAATAAAAAGTGTTAAGTAAAAAATAGGTAAGTAAAAAATAGCAAATAATTAAAGAGTAGCAGTAAAATAAAATAAACAGTCGGGAGGCTATATACAGGGGGTACCGGTACAGAGTCAATGTGCGGGGGCACCGGTTACCACTCAAAACAACAAATATGAAAGATCACTTCTTCCTCCCTGACAAACAGTTTCAACTTGCTATATTTGCATTTGAAGTTTGGTCCAAGAGAATGGGTCATATGGACACTGAAACACATGGAGACATTATTTTACTGTAATAGAGGATAAATTAACCTTTCCAACCATACAGTGTCTATGTTTTAACTCCTCAAATTTCGAGCAGAGCATACACTACCAAAACTGATGTACCAATTAAGTTTCATTCTGGAAAATTAATGCTCAGTTTTTCACACGCGCATTATGGTACCACATATCGCTAGCAGCATTTTTGTCAAATAAAAATAGCTATACTAGCTGTTTAGTCGGTTTTATAAAATGTGCAATAAGCATAAAACAATTATAAAAAGGAATTGGCAACTCGTACTCATTCTGAGAAATAAGGTAGGCCACTTAATTTCAACATCTGAACAAAGTGGACAGGCTAGCATGCTGTTCAAACAGTCAGAAGGTTGTGTTCATAGAGCTTGTGAAATTATACCTAGATCTAAGTTGGCTAAACTTGAAATAGAAATATTAGCTGGCTACTCACTGGCACGTGGGCTTGTTTATGAGACCGGTGTTCATTTTCTATAATGCCTGCTACATTATTATTGAATGTGCATTATGCATGGTTCTGGTTAAATTTGTAACAAAAAGGACATTTTTATAGACAGACCTGAAAGCCAGTAATTGTCAGTGTCAGTGATAATTGCATAAAAAAAAGCAGGTACAACTATTTTGATAAAATCATTACATTAGTGTTTTATGGTTGTGGAAGGCATATATTCAGCCTAGGTATGATTTCACAAGCTCTGAATTCATTAGATTATTGCTGACTTTTAAATTCAGTGTATTTGACCTTTAATTGCACAACAAAGCTTATTTAGAGAATAATTGTTGTTGTTTTTTTTTTTATGGAGAAATTAAGTTTTAGGCCATATTGCCCAGCCCTAACACACATATACAGTGCATTCGGAAAGTATTCAGACCCCTTGACTTTTCCCACATTGTTACGTTACAGCCTTATTCTAAAATTTATTTAAATGATATCCCCCCCAATCTACACACAATACCCCATAATTACAAAGCGAAAACAGGTTTAGAAATGTGAGCAAATTTATATATATATAAAAAAAAACTGAAATACCTTATTTACTTAAGTATTCAGACCCTTTCCTATGAGACTCGAAATTGAGCTCAGGTGCATCCTGTTTCCATTGATCATCCTTGAGATGTTTCTATAAATTGATTGGAGTCCATCTGTGGTAAATTCAATTGATTGGACATGATTTGGAAAGGCACACACCTGTCTATATAAGGTCCCACAGTTGACAGTGCATGTCAGAGCAAAAACCAAGCCATGAGGTCGAAGGAATTGTCCGTAGCGCTCGGAGACAGGATTGTGTCAAGGCACAGATGTGGGGAAGGGTACCAATAAATGTCTGCAGCATTAAAAGGTCCCCAAGAACACAGTGGCCTCCATTTTTAAATGGAAGAAGTTTGGAACCAACAAGACTCTTCCTAGAGCTGGCCGCCCGGCCAAACTGAGCAATCCGGGGAGAAGGGCCTTGGTCAGGGAGGTGACCAAGAACCCAATGGTCACTGACAGAGCTCCAGAGTTCCTGTGTTGAGATGGGAGAACCTTACAGAAGGACAACAATCTCTGCAGCACTCCACCAATCAGGCCTTTATGGTAGAGTGGCCAGACGGAAGCCACTCCTCAGTGAAAGGCACATGACAGCCCACTTGGAGCTCTCCAAAAGGCACCTTAAAGGACTCTGACCATGAGAAACAAGATTCTCTGGTCTGATGAAACCAAGATTGAACTTTTTCGATCTTAATGCCAAGCGTCACGTCTGGAAGAAACCTGGCACCATCCCTACGGTGAAGCATGGTGGTGGCAGCATGCGGTGGGGATGTTTTTCAGTGGCAGGGACTAGGAGACTAGTCAGGATCAAGGGAAAGATGAACGAGCAAAGTACAGAGAGATCCTTGATGAAAACCTGCTCCAGAATACTTATGTAAATAAGGTATCGGTTTCCCCCCTCCATAAATTTGAAAAAATGTCTAAAAAAACATTTTTGCTTTGTCATTATGGGGAATTTTGTGTAGATTGATGAGGGGAAAAAAACAACTTCATCCATTTTAGAATAAGGCTGTAATGTAACAAAATGTGGAAAAAGTGAAGGGGTCTGAATACTTTCCGTATGCACTGTATACATACACAGATATACACACACGTATACATACACTAAATATACAAAAGTATATGGACACCTATTCAAATTAGTGGATTGGGCTATTTCAGCCACACCCGTTGCTGACAGGTGTATAAAATCCAGCACACAGCCATGCAACATCCATTGACAAACATTGACAGTAGAATGGCCTTATTGAAGAGCTCAGTGACTTTAATTGTGGCACTGTCATAGGATGCCACCTTTCCAACAAGTCAGTTTGTAAAATTTCTGCCTTCCTAAAGCTGCCCCGGTCAACTGTAAGTGCTGTTATTGTGAAGTGGAAACATCTAGGAACAAGCTCACAGAACGGGACCGCCGAGTGCTGAAGCACGTAAAAATCACCTGTCCTCGGTTGCGACACTCACTACCGAGTTCCAAACGGTCTTTGGAAGCAACGTCAGCACAAGAACGGTTCGTCGGGAGCTTCATGAAATGGGTTTCCATGGCCGGGAAGCCGCACACAAGCCAAAGATCACAATGCGCAATGCCAAGCATCGGCTGGAGTGGTGTAAAGCTCGCTGCCATTGGAGCAGTGGAAACGCGTTCTCTGGAGTGATGAATCACACTTCACCATCTGGCAGTCCACCAGGAGAACGCTACCTGCCCAAATGCACAGTGCCAACTGTAATGTTTGGTTCAAGAGGAATAATGGTCTGGGGCGGTCTTTCATGGTTTGGTGCTAGCCCCATTAGTTCCAGTGAAAGGAAGTCTTTACGCTACCTTCTAAAAGATTCTGTGCTTCCAACTTTTTGTGGCAACAGTTTGGGGAAGGCCCTTTCCTGTTTCATCATGACAATGCCCCCGTGCACAAAGCGAGACCCATACATTATTATAATTTTTTTGTCATTTAGCAGACGCTCTTATCCAGAGCGACTTACAGTTAGTGAGTGCATACATTTTCATACTGGCCCCCGTGGGAAACGAACCCACAACCCTGGCGTTGCAAGCGCCATGCTCTACCAACTGAGCTACAGGGGACCCATACAGAAATGTTTTGTCAAGATCGGTGTGGAAGAACTTGACTGGCCTGCACAGAGCCCTGACCTCAACCCCATCGAACACCTTTGGGATGAATTGGAACGCCGACTGCAAGCCAGGCCTAATCACCCAACATCAGTGGCCGACCTCACGAATGCTCATGGCTGAATGGAAGCTAGTCCCAGCAGCAATGTTCCAACATCTAGTGGAAATCCTTCCCATTATTTTGGAATGAGCAGGTGTCCACATACTTTAGGTACGTAGTGTACACACACTGAACAAAAATATAAAACACAATATGCAACAATTTCAAAGATTTTACTGAGTTACAGTTAATAAGGAAATCAATTGAAATAAATTCATTAGGCCATAATCTTTCACATGACTGGGCAGGGGTGCAACTATGGGTGGGAAGAGGCCCACCCACTGGAGAGCCAATCAGAAAGATTTTTCAACACAAAAGGGCTTTATGAAAGAAATACAGCTCAGCATTTTAGCTAAATAAGCTTTTTGTGTGTATGGAACATTTCTGGGATTTCTTTTTTTTCAGCTCATGAACCCAACACTTTATACCATAACTTATTATTTCACATGTATACAGAATGTATATGATATGGGTCAAGGAAGGGTAAAGAGGAACTTTGTGTGTGGAAAGTTACTGAGTGATATGGAAAGTTACTGAGTGAGAAAAGGGGAAGTGCAGAAAGTTCATACTCTGTTCAAATATATTATTGTTGAATATGAATGTTCCTAAGGAGGGAGGCAAAGGTCAACAGCCAAGCCAGTTGCTGCGGAACCAGGACCATGAGGGATGTGGCACTCAACTCGCGATAAGGTCAACAGACACTGCTGGGAGGGGGGCCACAGGGGCCCACCCAGAAGACCATCTGATTACAGTCCTCTCACGCACACATTTCCACACCCAGGGCCATGACAATACCAGTAAGAGGAACCTACTGTGTTTCTGCCTAACAGAGAAGGAGTGTTTATCTTAGACATCCAAGGAGATGACTTGGTTTGAGCTTTTTCTAGTCATCCGTTTGAGTTTCTGCTCTGTTTGTTCAGAGCCTTAACAGTATGTTCATATACACATATATACAGTGCATTTGGAAAATGTATTCAGACCCCTTCACTTTCGTTACAGCCTCATTCAAAAATGTATTACAGTGGGGGAAAAAAGTATTTAGTCAGCCACCAATTGTGCAAGTTCTCCCACTTAAAAAGATGAGGCCTGTAATTTTCATCATAGGTACACGTCAACTATGACAGACAAAATGAGATTTTTTTTCCAGAAAATCACATTGTAGGATTTTTAATGAATTTATTTGCTAATTATGGTGGAAAATAAGTATTTGGTCAATAACAAAAGTTTCTCAATACTTTGTTATATACCCTTTGTTGGCAATGACACAGGTCAAACGATTTCTGTAAGTCTTCACAAGGTTTTCACACACTGTTGCTGGTATTTTGGCCCATTCCTCCATGCAGATCTCCTCTAGAGCAGTGATGTTTTGGGGCTGTCGCTGGGCAACACGGACTTTCAACTCCCTCCAAAGATTTTCTATGGGGTTGAGATCTGGAGACTGGCTAGGCCACTCCAGGACCTTGAAATGCTTCTTACGAAGCCACTCCTTCGTTGCCCGGGCGGTGTGTTTGGGATCATTGTCATGCTGAAAGACCCAGCCACGTTTCATCTTCAATGCCCTTGCTGATGGAAGGAGCTTTTCACTCAAAATCTCACGATACATGGCCCCATTCATTCTTTCCTTTACACGGATCAGTCGTCCTGGTCCCTTTGCAGAAAAGCATCCCCAAAGCATGATGTTTCCACCCCCATGCTTCACAGTAGGTATGATGTTCTTTGGATGCAACTCAGCATTCTTTGTCCTCCAAACACGACGAGTTGAGTTTTTACCAAAAAGTTCTATTTTGGTTTCATCTGACCATATGACATTCTCCAAATCCTCTTCTGGATCATCCAAATGCACTCTAGCAAACTTCAGACGGGCCTGGACATGTACTGGCTTAAGCAGGGGGACACGTCTGGCACTGCAGGATTTGAGTCCCTGGCGGCGTAGTGTGTTACTGATGGTAGGCTTTGTTACTTTGGTCCCAGCTCTCTGCAGGTCATTCACTAGGTCCCCCCGTGTGGTTCTGGGATTTTTGCTCACCGTTCTTGTGATCATTTTGACCCCACGGGGTGAGATCTTGCGTGGAGCTCCAGATCGAGGGAGATTATCAGTGGTCTTGTATGTCTTCCATTTCCTAATAATTGCTCCCACAGTTGATTTCTTCAAACCAAGCTGCTTACCTATTGCAGATTCAGTCTTCCCAGCCTGGTGCAGGTCTACATTGTTGTTTCTAGTGTCCTTTAACAGCTCTTTGGTCTTGGCCATAGTGGAGTTTGGAGTGTGACTGTTTGAGGTTGTGGACAGGTGTCTTTTATACTGATAACAAGTTCAAACAGGTGCCATTAATACAGGTAACGAGTGGAGGACAGAGGAGCCTCTTAAAGAACAAGTTACAGGTCTGTGAGAGCCAGAAATCTTGCTTGTTTGTAGGTGACCAAATACTTATTTTCCACCATCATTTGCAAATAAATTCATTAAAAATCCTACAATGTGATTTTCTGGATTTTCTTTTCTCAATTTGTCTGTCATAGTTGACGTGTACCTATGATGAAAATTACAGGCCACTCTCATCTTTTTAAGTGGGAGAACTTGCACAATTTGTGGCTGACTAATTACTTTTTTTCCCCACTGTACATCGTTTTTTCCCCTCATCAGTCTACACACAATACCCCATAATAACAAAGCAAAAACAGGTTTTTAGAAATGTTTGCAAATTTATATACAAAAGAAAGCTACTAAAATATCAAATTTACATAAGCATTCAGACCCTTTACTCAGTACTCTGTTGAAGCACCTTTTGTAGCGATTACAGCCTCGAGTCTTCTTGGGTATGACGCTACAAGCTTGGCACACCTGTATTTGGGGTGTTTATCCCATTCTTCTCTGCAGATCCTCTCAAGCTCTGTCAGGTTGGATGGACAGTGTTGCTGCACAGCTACTTTCAGGTCACTACAGAGATGTTCGATCGGGTTCAAGTCCAGGCTCTGGCTGGGCCACTCAAGGACATTCAGAGATTTGTCCCGAAGCCACTCCTGCGTTGTCTTGGCTGTGTGCTTAGGGTCGTTGTCCTGTTGGAAGGTGAATCTTCACCCCAGTCTGAGGTCCTGAGTGCTCTGGAGCAGGTTTTCATCAAGGATCTCTCTGTATTTTGCGCTGTTCATCTTTCCCTCGATCCTGACTAGTCTCCCAGTCCATGCCGCTGAAAATATCCTCACAGCATGATGCTGCCACCACCATGCTTCACCGTAGGGATAGTGCCAGGTTTCCTCCATACGTGACGCTTGGCATTCAGGCCAAAGAGTTCAATCTTGGTTTCATCAGACCAGAAAATCTTGTTTCTCATGGTCTGAGAGTCCTTTAGGTGCCTTTTGGAAAACTCCAAGCGGGCTGTTATGTGTCTTTTACTGAGGAGTGGCTTCAGTCTGGCTACTCTACCATAAAGGCCTGATTGTTGGAATGCTGCAGAGATGGTTGTCCTTCTGGAAGGGTCTACCATCTCCACAGAGGAACTCTGGAGCTCTGTCAAAGTGACCATCGGGTTCTTGGTCACCTCCCTGACCAAGGCCCTTCTCCCCCGATTGCTCAGTTTGGCCGGGCGGCCAGTGCTAGGAAGAGTCTTGGTGGTTCCAAACTTCTTCCATTTAAGAACTTTTTTGGTACCCTTCCCCAGATCTGTGCCGACACAATCCTGTCTCTGAGCTCTATGGACAAATACTTCGACCTCACGGCTTGGTTTTTGCTCTGACATGCACTGTCAACTGTGGGACCTTATATAGACAGGTGTGTGCCTTTCCAAATCATGTCCAATCAATTGAATTTACCACAGGTGGACTCCAATAAAGTTGTAGAAACATCTCAAGGATGATCAATGAAAAAAGGATGCACCTGAGCTCAATTTCGAGTCTCATAGCAAAGGGTCTGAATACTTATGTTAATAAGGGAGCAGTTTATTTTTTTTATACATTTGCAAACATTTCTAAAAACCTGGTTATGCTTTGTCCTTATTGGGTATTGTGTGTAGATTGATGAGGTAACAATTTAATTTAATCAATTTTAGAATAAGGCTGTAATGTAACTAAATGTGGAAAAGGGGAAGGGGTCTGAATACTTTCCGAATGTACTGTATATACACACACACACACACAGTATGCTAGTGAGTAGTGGCGTTATCCTCCTTACCATGGGTCTGATGAAGCGTTCATATTTGGGAGGCTTGCGGGTGAAGTTGTCGCCTACGAAGCACACTTTGGTCACCATCCTCTTCCAGGCCTTTTTCTGCCTCTTGCCTGTACGGATTACTTTGAGCACCTCCGTCTCCCCCTGGGCCCGAACCTTGGGCAGGGGCACCTCCCATTTACCCTACAGGGAGAAATAGAAGATCGGATCAGATACAATTTCAGGATGCCTTTAAAAACCTGTATTTCAACTAAACTGGCATGGCCTTTGCACACATAGGTCCAATTTCATTGAAAGTGCATTTAGGTCCAGGACTAGGCTTAATATGAGAGTGCTGGAAACCCGTCCATACAGTATTAAGTTGACATTTGAAACAATTAGTCAGGATTCAGCTAGGTATTGTTCCCTTTTACAAGAGAATCTGTCCAGACATACAGTGAGGGGAAAAAAGTATTTGATCCCCTGCTTATTTTGTATGTTTGCCCACTAACAAAGACATGATTAGTCTATAATTTCAATGGTAGGTTTATTTGAACAGTGAGAGACAGAATAACAACAAAAAAATCCAGAAAAATGCATGTCAAAAATGTTTTAAATTTATTTGCATTTTAAATGAGGGAAATAAGTATTTGACCCCCTCTCAATCAGAAAGATTCCTGGCTCCCAGGTGTCTTTTATACAGATAACGAGTTGAGATTAGGAGCACACTCTTAAAGGGAGTGCTCCTAATCTCAGCTTGTTACCTGTATAAAAGACACCTGTCCACAGAAGCAATCAATCAATCAGATTCCAAACTCTCCACCATGGCCAAGACCAAAGAGCTCTCCAAGTATGTCAGGGACAAGATTGTAGACCTACACAAGGCTGGAATATTTCCCTCATTAAAATGCAAATCAATTTATAACATTTTTGACATGCGTTTTTCTGGATTTTTTTGTTGTTATTCTGTCTCTCACTGTTCAAATAAACCTACCATTAAAATTATAGACTGACCATTTCTTTGTCAGTGGGCAAACATACAAAATCAGCAGGGGATCAAATACTTTTTCCCCTCACTGTACACTATTACCGGTCTTCAGGGAGATGATGACGAAAACACAAACATGTAAAAGAAAGGCATTGAATACTCACAGCCTTCTCCTTCCTCTTCTGTTTGATCATGTTGGAGAGGATCTTGGCGCGTGACTGTCCCTCTCTGTCCAGCAGGTAGGCTGGAACTGCTCCCTCAGGCGTCTTGTCGTCGTTCTTCTGCTTGGTCTTCCTCTGTTCGTGCATTTTGAGGCTGTGGTGATACATAGCGGTCAACAAACAGCGGCAATGGCAAAGGAAACATTTGTTTGCCCGCGCTACAGACAGCTATATTGGTCCATTAATACAGGACTAGTAAAGGCCCAGCGCACTACTTTCGGTAAGATTTTGTACATTTTATTCTGATTTTTCAGAGGGTGCTGCAGCATGGTAGTGTATGACTATATACTCACGTCTTTTTCATTTGGATCTTCTCAGAGTGCCTCTGTTTGTGGTAGAGTTTGGCCTTCAGACCAATCATCTTCCTGGCTTTATGTGAGCGCTCATGGGCCTCACGGCTCTCCTTCTTCCTCTTCCTCTCCTGATGGTCCAGGCGCTGGCCATGGCGCTTGCGATGTAACTCAATGTGTTCGTTCTGGGGCTGGGGTAAGAAGCAAAGAAGGATTACAGTTCGACTCCTTCCTTAAAGGTTTGTGGCTTTCTGAACGTATTCTTAAGTAAACAAACATCACAGAAATAATGAATGATTTCAGAATATTCAATTCTAAAGGTAGGCTAATTTGGCTCAAGGATCCTCAAAATGTTTGGCATGATGACCATTAAAGTAACTTAGTTAGTTAATTGCTGATTGATTAGTCAGCTAGCGTTAGGTAATTAGGGTAAGGCAAAATCAAAACAATTCAGGCCAGAGCAGTTCGACCAACATTACACATTTGTTTGAGAAACTGTATGTCGTCAGGTGTCTGCCACATGTTAGCTAGCCAGCATACTAATACATTTCCCTATCAAATATGTTATAAAGAACGTGAAACATGGGGATATCTTACCATTTTGTGTCTTGAATGTTACGTGTTCAGGTACAATACTTATTTGATGGAATTGGTTGTTTCAAATGTGTTTTTCTTTCGTCGTTTTGACTTAAGGCTTGGGTCGTTGGTGTTTTCCCCGAAGCCAATATTTTAGAGGAAGTACGTCATTGGAGTGTCCTCTCAAACAAATTCCGGAATGAAACCTGGTAAGAGGGTTCAGGAACTGTCCCGTTGCATACTTATAAATTGTACTAAGTTGATGAGTTACCTATAAATTATTAACAAAAAATATAAAAAATCTGGCCGGTTTTAATATTCATTACACCTTTCAGAACTATTCAACAATAAATAAAAATGGCTTTTTAAAATGTAAAACCAGAAGTGAAATTCTGATGGGACTGCTTGCTTGGGGGTGTATGTTGAAGGTTCCCCTCATAAGGAAAGCTAGAATTTATGTGGATAGATTTCTTCTAGTTGCATCATTGAGATAATGAATATATTACTGTTTTTGATTATTGTTATAAGGAAAAATGAAGGCCAGGCATTTAGAGAATGTGTTTACATTATTTGACAGCCAGTTCAAGGCCAACAGTAGTAGCTAATTTTAGAGTTGAGCATGGGCGTAGGTCTGGGGGTCCTCCCTCAGAAATGTTTGGCCATCTAAAGAATTTCCTGCATTTCTACTAGGGCTGTCCCCGACAAAAAAATTATAATCTTGGCTGACCAAGAGTAGTCTTTTCTAATCGATTGGTTGTAATTTTAAAACGTGTATTTTTCCATATATAGACACACCCTATGTGTTTTAATAAAATAAACTAGGCTATATGTACTGAACTTGTTTGAGCTTTAGGCAGGCTGTTTGATTAAATAATTATGACACACAAATGACTCAAGAGGGAGCCAGAGAGCAAGATAGCCTAACCAGAAGAAGAAAAAACTGTTCCCGACCCTCCTCCCGCTGCTGCTGGCCTTCACAGATTCTGCCATTATGCACCTGAAGTTGCCGGTAATAGGCTGCTACACCAGCGGTCAGCAACCTTTATCATTTGGAGTGCCAGTGTATCTTACCATTTTTACCAATCTGAGTGCCAGTTATGATTTTCATATGCACATTTTTGTGGAACAGTTTCATTTAACTTATAATAGTCTTTGTATCTCATTTTACCTTTTAGTCATTTAGCAGACGCTCTTATCCAGAGCGACTTACAGTTAGTGAGTGCATACATTTTTCATACTGGCCCCCCGTGGGAAACAAACCCACAACCCTGGCGTTGCAAGCGCCATGCTCTACCAACTGAGCTACAGGGGACTATCTCAAAATCATTATCTGTGGTTAATCTACATTCTATCTAAATCTAAAAGTAACTTATTGCCATTGCCACCTATGTAAAAAATAGCCTACATAAAGACAACACATAAAAACATTGCAGCCTGCAGGTAGAAAATATCCTGATATAAATAAATATCCTATAAATCACATTGGCTACCTGTCTGTAACAAACTTGAAATATTGTACAACTATCAACTGGGACGCCGAAACTTGCGCTGGCAAACTTGAAACATTGTATAAAATATTCTGGGCCCAGTTTCCAGCGCCAGTGACCTCGGGGCAAACACAGCTGTAGGCTATTTGTGCACAGGATAAGAAGTAATCAGGTATTTTATGACATTTCCACTGGATAACAGCATTACATTTTTCCCTTTAATGCCGAGTGGTTATCGAAAGGGAGAGCTGGAAATATTGTTCAAATACTTTGAGGAACTATTGTCATTCTCAATTGATTCTAAAATCATACTTTGTTTACTTGCTGTTTGAGTTGAAGAAAAATTACTTTGAGAAGCTCCACAGCTCATTAGTGGTGGTGAGTTAAGACAATCAGAAATACTATAAGACATCCCCAAATCAAATCAAATTGTATTTGTCACATACACGTGTTTAGCAAATGTTATTGCGGGTGTAGCGAAATGCTTGTGCTTCTAGCTCTGTCAGTGCAGTAATATCTAACAAGTAATATCTAACAATTTCACAACATTGACCTAATACACACACATCTAAGTAAGGAATAAAATTTAAGAATATATACATACAGTTGAAGTCGGAAGTTTACAAACACCTTAGCCAAATACATTTACACTCAGTTTTTCACAATTCCTGACATTTAATCCTAGTAAAAATTCCCTGTCTTAGGTCAGTTAGGATCAACACTTTATTTTAAGAATGTGAAATGTCCGAATAATAATAGAGAGAATGATTTATTTCAGCGTTTATTTATTTAATCACATTCCCAGTGGGTCAGAAGTTTACATACACTCAATTAGTATTTGGTAGCATTGCCTTTAAATTGTTTAACTTGGGTCAAACATTTTGGGTAGCCTTCCACAAGCTTCCCACAATACATTTAATTAATTTTGGCCCATTCCTCCTGACAGAGCTGGTGTAACTGAGTCAGGTTTGTAGGCCTCCATGCTCGCACATGCTTTTTCAGTTCTGCCCACAAATTTTCTATAGGATTGAGGTCAGGGCTTTGTGATGGCCACTCCAATACCTTAACTTTGTTGCCTTAAGCCATTTTGCCACAACTTTGGAAGTACGCTTGGGGTCATTGTCCATTTGGAAGACCCATTTGCGACCAAGCTTTAACTTCCTGACTGATGTCTTGAGATGTTGCTTCAATATATCCACATAATTTTCCTTCCTCATGATGCCATCTATTTTGTGAAGTGCACCAGTCCCTCCTGCAGCAAAGCCCGCTCACAGTATGATGCTGCCACCCTCGTGCTTCACGGTTGGGATGGTATTCTTCGGCTTGCAAGCATTCCCCTTTTTCCTCCAAACATAACGATGGTCATTATGGCCAAACAGTTCTATTTTTGTTTAATCAAACCAGAGGACATTTCTCCAAAAAGTACGATCTTTGTCCCCATGTGCAGTTGCAAACCGTAGTCTGGCTTTTTTATGGCGGTTTTGGAACAGTGGCTTCTTCCTTGCTGAGCGGCCTTTCAGGTTATGTCGATATAGGACACGTTTACTGTGGATATAGATACTTTTGTACCTGTTTCCTCCAGCATCTTCACAAGGTCTTTTGCTGTTGTTCTGGGATTGATTTGCACTTTTCGCACCAAAGTACGTTAATCTCTAGGAGACAGAACGCGTCTCCTTCCTGAGCGGTTTGATGGCTGCGTGGTCCCATGGTGTTTATACTTGCGTACTATTGTTTGTACAGATGAACGTGGTACCTTCAGACGTTTGGAAATTGCTCCCAAGGATGAACCAGACTTGTGGAGGTCTACAATTTTGTTTCTGAGGTCTTGGCTGATTTCTTTTGATTTTCCCATGATGTCAAGGAAAGAGGCACTGAGTTTGAAGGTAGGCCTTGAAATACTTCCACAGGTACACCTCCAATTGAATCAAATGATGTCAATTACCCTATCATAAGCTTCTAAAGCCATGACATCATGTTCTGGAATTTTCCAAGCTGTTTAAAGGCACAGTCAACTTAGTGTATGTAAACTTCTGACCCACTGGAATTGTGATACAGTGAATTATAAGTGAAATAATCTGTCTGTAAACAATTGTTGGAAAAATGACTTGTGTCTTGCACAAAGTAGATGTCCTAACCGACTTGCCAAAACTATAGTTTGTTAACAAGAAATTTGTGGAGTGGTTGAAAAACAAGTTTTAATGACTCCAACCTAAGTGTATGTAAACTTCCGACTTCAACTGTATATGGACAAGCATTGACAGAGCGGCATGGACTAAGATACAGTAGAATATTATAGAATAGAATACAGTACATACATATGAGATGATTAGTGAAAGATATGTAAACATTATTCAAGTGACTAGTGTTCCATTTCTTAAAGTGGCCAGTGATTTCAAATAGGCAGCAGCAGCCTCTAATGTGCTAGTGATGGCTATTTAACAGTCTGATGGCCTTGAGATAGAAGCTGTTTTTCATTCTCTCAGTCCCAGCTTTGATGCACCTGTACTGACCTCGCCTTCTGGATGATAGCGGGGTGAACAGGCAGTGGCTGTGGTGGTTGATGTCCTTGATGACCTTTTTGGCCTTCCTGTGACATCGGGTGCTGTAGGTGTCCTGGAGGGTGGGTAGTTTGCCCCCGGTAATGCGTTCGGCAGACTGCACCACCCTCTGGAGAGCCCTGCGGTTGCAGGCGGTGCAGTTGCCGTACCAGGCGGTGATACAGCCCGACAGGATGCTCTCAATTGTGCATCTGTAAAAGTTTGTGAGGGTTTTAGGTGCCAAGCCAAATTTGTTCAGCCTCCTGAGGTTGAAGAGGCTCTGTTGTGCCTTCTTCACCACACTGTCTGCGTGGGTGGACCATTTCAGTTTGTCAGTGATGTGTACGCCATGGAACTTGAAGCTTTCCACCTTCTCCACTGCGGTCCCGTCGATGTGGATAGGGGGGTGCACCTTCTGCTGTTTCCTGAAGTCCACGATCATCTCTTTGTTTTGTTGACGTTGAGTGAGAGGTTATTTTCCTGGCACCACACTCCCAGAGCCCTCACCTCCTCCCTGTAGGCTGTCTCGTCATTGTTGGTAATCAAGCCTACTACTGTTGTGTCGTCTGCAAACTTGATGATTGAGTTGGAGGCGTGCTTGGCCACGCAGTCATGGGTGAACAGGGAGTACAGGAGTGGGCTGAGCACTGTAATTATAATAATACAGGGCCTAAAATTAACACCCGCCACCTGCCAAATGCAGGTAGATTTTGACGTTGGCAGGTGGTCAGGGCTCGACAGTGCGAGCATTTCACTTGCATTTGTGAATAAAAATAGTGAAATATGATCACATTCATAGCAAAGTAAATGCTGCAGTAGCTGTTTTATAAATGAGAAACTACCTGTTGCACAGATTCCAATTGGCAGCGGGAAGAGCTTCACAGGATTGGTCGACTTGATTACCAACCAGCGAATGACGTGGCGGGTGAAATCCAGAGGATGGCCATTTGTTTGAGGCCAAACCCCTCAGCCAATTAGATGACCTGGAACTTCTACAGGAGGCCATGGAGGTCAGGGAAGCTCTGATATAACAGGTCATGGAAATGACATCATCATCCCAACTCAAGACACCTCAATTGGTAGATCACGAAGCAAAACGTTTGGGAACCCCTGATCTAGTGTGGATGTAGGAAGATACTCCTACTGATAGCTAACATCACTTTACAAACGAGTACAGCACAAACCTGTGTAAAAGCTATGAGATGAACCACCCAGAGATTCTACAGTTGGTATTTCAATTGTTCTCCTTCACAGGTTTGACACGGTTCCAGGAGGGGGAGAGGAAGAGGCGTGGTTTCGTATGATATGTTATGAATCCAATTTGTACAATATCTTATGAATTTGTTGTGCTTAAGATCCTGGACAGCATCTTCAAAACCTGCACAGAGACATCGTTTGATAGTGTTGTGCACACAATGAGATCTCTGCCTATGTACTGTACTGTAGTCGTGTCGTGGATTTGTGAGTGTCCATAGAAGAGGAGTGTCCATAGAAGGAGAGTGCAAATAGGAGTCTCCATAGAAGAGGTGTCCATAGAAGTGTCCATAGAAGAAGAGTGTCCACAGAAAAGAATTGTCCATAGAAGAAGACATTAGCAGCAATACAGTAGTGGGTTTGTTGGTGATAGTAGTACAGCGGTAGTAACAGTGCCCCTAATTGTAATACTGGGCTGGAGCTTGGGATGTCACTGGAGGTGACAGTGTGGGAGGAGCACCTGAGCTCGGTGACTTGGCTCAGAGACGAGGGGCTATCCGGGACATCCAGTTATGTCCCAGGTTGTAATGGATCTAATCTTTCCTCCTCCTGTTTCAGGGCTACTCCAATGCCCTGCAAACTCTGACAACGCCACCTTCTCCTTCCAGCTGGACAGCTACGAGGCCATGAACCTCCAGCACCAGAACACCCTGTTCAACAAGATGGCTGGCCTCGCCTGATGACATCACCTCCTGTTCCTGAACTACAGGAAATGGCTGCAGGATTTGCGATTGTTGCACTTCGAAACTGAACAGTTGGGGTTTGACAAATCTCGGCATCCAGTTCAAGTATGTGGCATGGCCGTGTTGTGTCACAAGAGACTAGGATTGGACTAATGGACTTTTGTACCAAACTGAGCAAGAGCACAATTCAGTGGTTATAGTATGTTTCTGTGGAATATACATGGATGTTTGAATGTAAATGTAAGCCAGGAATGCCACTGTCAATACTCTTGTAAGGGCGTTTGCTGTGCAAACAGATGAATCAAGAACATGGTACTCTGTGTATGTTGGCATACAGTACTGCTGCTGAACATATTGTAGTGGTGGAGGTATGTCATTCAAATGTATAGATATTGTATGAAAGATGCTCTTGTGATGAAATGTGTCCCCAATGTGTCATTTCCATGAGTTTGTAAAACTATCACACTTCAGGTGTCCACAGCACTGTACACAGACAATTTACCTTGCAAAGGTTTATTATTATTAAGTCCCGTTTGGCTCAGTTGGTAGAGCATGGTGCTTGCAATTTCAGGGTTGTGGGTTTGAATCCCACGGGGGACCAGTATAAAAAAAAAGTATGAAACTGTATGCACTAACTACTGCAAGTCGCTGTAAGAGCATCTGCTAATTGACTAAAATGTAATTATTATTAATTTAAAACATACATTCATATTAAAATAAATGGCTTTCTAAAAACAAGATCAATGTGACATTGCATGGAATGAGGATTGTTCTGGAAAACATTGTTAAAAATACAAATTTTGGCTCGTATCAGTGCATCAATCAAGTCATGAAGACGATCACAGTGGTCTTCACTTTTCATACCCCTTTGTACTCATGTGCACAGTAACCTGTAAAAAGAGGCTCAGCTGGGATACCACGCCTGGGGAGGAGAGGACAGGAAGAGAGAGTTACAAGTCAAGAGAGAGGACAGGAAGAGAGAGTTGCCACATTGTATACCACAGTCAAGAGTTGATCATAATCTTTTACACACCTGTCTATAACAGGGGGCCACCATAGAATTAAATAGAACAGCAATTAACAGAAGTATGCATCTTTATGTCTCGACATACTGGACCATGCGACAGCGGTGCTTGGCCAGACGACTGTAGGCATCGTTTAAGTTCCTCACATCCCTGTCACTCCACAACCGCTCCCCCACAGCACTGGCACGGGGCCTGAGGATAGGAGAGAAACACGTTATGGGACCAACAGACTTCTTAGTAATGAATGTATAGGCTATAACATTGCTGAACATGTGTGAGAAAGATGAGAGAAAGGATGTTTTATGATTATTATTGATAATATTTATGGGGTGTTGTGTGGTGTACCAGAGTCTAGGTGTCAGGTTGGTAGCATCCACATATTCTCCCCACAGACATGCCTCTCCCCCAATCACCAGCTTTTTCTGGGTATCCGTGCCTGGGTTCACAAGGTCAAAGGTCAATTAGGGGTCAGGGGGTAATCACATTCACATAAATGTTTACATATGATGTTTATATACAGTGGGAGAAAAAAGTATTTAGTCAGCCACCAATTGTGCAAGTTCTCCCACTTAAGAAGATGAGAGAGGCCTGTAATTCTCATCATAGGTACACGTCAACTATGACAGACAAAATGAGAAAAAAAAATCACATTCACATTGTAGGATTTTTAATGAATTTATTTGCAAATTATGGTGGAAAATAAGTATTTGGTCAATAACAAAAGTTTCTCAATACTTTGTTATATACACCCTTTGTTGGCAATGACACAGGTCAAACGTTTTCTGTAAGTCTTCACAAGGTTTTCACACACTGTTGCTGGTATTTTGGCCCATTCCTCCATGCAGATCTCCTCTAGAGCAGTGATGTTTTGGAGCTGTCGCTGGGCAACACAGACTTTCAACTCCCTCCAAAGATTTTCTATGGGGTTGAGATCTGGAGACTGGCTAGGCCACTCCAGGACCTTGAAATGCTTCTTACGAAGCCACTCCTTCGTTGCCCGGGCGGTGTGTTTGGGATCATTGCCATGCTGAAAGACCCAGCCACGTTTCATCTTCAATGCCCTTGCTGATGGAAGGAGGTTTTCACTCAAAATCTCACGATACATGGCCCCATTCATTCTTTCCTTTACACGGATCAGTCGTCCTGGTCCCTTTGCAGAAAAACAGCCCCAAAGCATGATGTTTCCACCCCAATGCTTCACAGTAGGTATGGTGTTCTTTGGATGCAACTCAGCATTCTTTGTCCTCCAAACACGACGAGTTGAGTTTTTACCAAAAAGTTATATTTTGGTTTCATCTGACCATATGACATTCTCCCAATCCTCTTCTGGATCATCCAAATGCACTCTAGCAAACTTCAGACGGGCCTGGACATGTACTGGCTTAAGCAGGGGGACACGTCTGGCACTGCAGGATTTGAGTCCCTGGCGGCGTAGTGTGTTACTGATGGTAGGCTTTGTTACTTTGGTCTCAGCTCTCTGTAGGTCATTCACTAAGTCCCCCTGTGTGGTTCTGGGATTTTTGCTCACCGTTCTTGTGATCATTTTGACCCCACAGGGTGAGATCTTGCGTGGAGCCCCAGATCGAGGGAGATTATCAGTGGTCTTGTATGTCTTCCATTTCCTAATAATTGCTCCCACAGTTGATTTCTTCAAACCAAGCTGCTTACCTATTGCAGATTCAGTCTTCCCAGCCTGGTGCAGGTCTACAATTTTGTTTCTGGTGTCCTTTGACAGCTCTTTGGTCTTGGCCATAGTGGAGTTTGGAGTGTGACTGTTTGAGGTTGTGGACAGGTGTCTTTTATACTGATAACAAGTTCAAACAGGTGCCATTAATACAGGTAACGAGTGGAGGACAGAGGAGCCTCTTAAAGAAGAATTTACAGGTCTGTGAGAGCCAGAAATCTTGCTTGTTTGTAGGTGACCAAATACTTATTTTCCACCATAATTTGCAAATAAATTCATTAAAAATCCTACAATGTGATTTTCTGGATTATTTTTTCTCAATTTGTCTGTCATAGTTGACGTGTACCTATGATGAAAATTACAGGCCTCTCTCATCTTTTTAAGTGGGAGAACTTGCACAATTGGTGGCTGACTAAATACTTTTTTTCCCCACTGTATGCCCATTTCTGTATTTAATCTTACCATGGGAACAGAGTTTTTGGAGGTATATTTTTTCTGCTACTTCAGTCAACAGGCTTGCACTTAGTTGCACAGAAATCCAAACCGTGTGACCATTGGCTCATAAGAAAAAAAGCAGATGGCTTTTGGCATGGAGGGCGTTTTCCCTATTCAGACTCAGAGCAGGTGGGTGACCTCAGAACTGCGTCACATGAATCCATTATCACTCTAGAACAGGAGGGCCAGGGGCCAGGCAAAGTATTTCTTAATCACAAACCATAAAAGCAAGTCAATCACTGTATTGGTCTTTGCTGCCCTACTGTTAATATAGAGTGAAGTATTGTCAGTGGTGGAAAAAGTACCCAATTGTCGTACTTGAGTAAAAGTAAAGATACGTTAATAGAAAATGACTCAAGTAAAAGTGAAAGTCACCCAGTAAAATACTGCTTGAGTAAAAGTCAAAGTATTTAGTTTTAAATATACTTAAGTATCAAAAGTTAAAGTATCAAATCATTTCAAATTCCTTATATTAAGCAAACCAGGCAGCACAATTATTATTATTTTTTTTCCATTTACAGATAGCCAGGGGCACACTCCAACACTCAGACATCATTTACAAAAGAAGCATTTGTGTTTAGTGAGTCCGCCAGATCAGGTAGTAGGGATGACCAGGGATGTTCTCTTGATAAGTGCGTGAATTGGACAATTTTCCTGTCCTGCTAAGCATTCAAAATGTAACAAGTATTTTTAGGTATCAGGGAAAATGTATGGAGTAAAAAGTACATTATTTTCTTTAGGAATGTAGTGTAGTAAAAGTAAAAGTAGTCCAAAATATAAATAGTAAAGTAATGTACAGATTCAAAAAATGACTTAAGTAGTACTTTAAAGTATTTTTACTTAAGTACTTTACACCACTGGATATTGTGATGAGTGTTGGGCCAGTGTGTAAAATGACCAACTAAAAACTCCTCAAACCTTAAAATCAACAAGAACCAAATAAGTTGGACATTGAGGATGCACGAGTCATACCAACACAGCAAAGAAAAGAGCCGAGGAATAGTACTTTCCCAGAAATAAAGCCTCTCTCCAAAGCATTTAGATAGGCTGCGTTTACACAGGCAGACCAATTCTGATCTTTTTTTCCAAATTGGTCATTTGACCAATCACATCATCTCTGAAAAAGATCTGATGTTATTGGTCACAAGACCAATTATTGGACAACATTTTCAGAATTGATCTGCCTGTGTAAATGCAGCCATATAGGGGACACACCATTGAAGTTCTGTGGGTCGGCCTTGTAAGCGGCCTGCCAGTCCTGGCATTAGGAGATGCGGTTGTGGTACCAGGGTGTGGAGAGCAGGGTCTGGTAGCCTGATGCTGTGACCCTCGTCATCTCAGCCTGGTACTGCTGCTGGTTGCCTTTCCACACATGGATTAGTGAGTCTGCCTTCAGCTACATACACTACCGGTCAAAAGTTTTAGGACACCTACTCATTCAAGGGTTTTTCTTTATTTTTACTATTTTCTACATTGTAGAATAATAGTGAAGACATCAAAACTATGAAATAACACATATGGAATCATGTAGTAACCAAAAAAGTGCTAAACAAAGTTTATTTCCTTCTTAATGCGTTTGAGCCAATCAGTTGTGTTGTGACAAGGTAGGGGGGTATACAGAAGATAGCCCTATTTGGTAAAAGACCAAGTCCATATTATGGCATATAAATAAGCAGAGAGAAATGACAGTCCATCATTACTTTGAGACATGAAGGTCAGTAAATACGGAACATCAAGAACTTTGAAGGTTTCTTCAAGTGCAATCACAAAAACCATCAAGCGCTATGATGAACCTGGCTATCATGAGGACCACCACAGGAATGGAAGACCCAGAGGAACCTCTGCTGCAGAGGATAAGTTCATTAGAGTTACCAGCCTCAGAAATTGCAGCCCAAATAAATGCTTCACAGAGTTCAGGTAACAGACACATCTCAACATCAACTGTTCAAAGGAGACTGTGTGAATCAGGCCTTCATGGTCGAATTGCTGCAAAGAAACCACTACTAAAAGGACACCAATAATAAGAAGAGACTTGCTTGGAACAAGAAACACGAGCAATGGACATTAGACCGGTGGAAATGTGTCCTTTGGTCTGGAGTCCAAATTAGAGATTTTTGGTTCCAACCGCCTTGTCTTTGTGAGACGCGGTGTGGGTGAACGGATGATCTCCGCATGTATATTTCCCACCGTAAAGCATGGAGGAGGAGGTGTTATGGTGTGGGGGTGCTTTGCTGGTGACACTGTCTGTGATTTATTTAGAATTCAAGGCACACTTAACCAGCATGGCTCCCACAGCATTCTGCAGCGATATGCCATCCCATCTGGTTTGGGCTTAGTGGGACTATCATTTGTTTTTCAACAGGACAATGACCCAACACACCTCCAGGCTGTGTAAGGGCTATATGACCAAGAAGGAGAGTGATGGAGTGCTGCATCAGATGACCTGGCCTCCACAATCCCCCGACCTCAACCAAATTTAGATGGTTTGGGATGAGTCGGACCGCAGAGTGAAGGAAAAGCAGCCAACAAGTGCTCAGCATACGTATACGTGGTAACTCCTTCAAGACTGTTGGAAAAGCATTCCAGGTGAAGCTAGTTGAGAGAATGCCAAGAATATGCAAAGCTGTCATCAAGGAAAGGTGGCTATTTGAAGAATCTCAAATATAAAATATATTTTGATTTGTTTCATACCTTTTTTTTTTTTGGTTACTACATGATTTCACATGCGTTATTTCATAGTTTTGATGTCTTCACTATTATTCTACAATGTAGAAAATAGTAAAAATAAAAGAAAAACCCTTGAATGAGTAGGTGTTCTAAAACCTTTGACCGGTAGTGTACAGTAGACACACATAGATACACATGCAACATGTGGTTGAGAAATAGCCTTAGTATTTAGGAGTATTATTAGCACTAATTAGTGTAGAGTAGTATTTTTGGGGGAGAAAGACATTTAAAACAAATGCCACAGCAGAGCTCTCCATGGATAAGCTTGCATCAGGGTACATTCAAGATGCAAAACCACAGAGCAGGGACCAATTGAAGGAGCTTTCCTCTTGCAAGATGCTTCCGGTGGAGTGGTTTTCATCAGTGCATTGGTGTTTGTATCTCTTCGTGGTAGACATCACAATACAGATGGAGCAAAGTTCCAAAGTTGCCTGCATTTGTAAGGTTTTACAGTGCATTCGGAAAGTATTCAGACCCCTTGACTATTTCCAAATTTTTGTTAAGTTACAATATCCCCATAATGACAAAGCAAAAACAGGTTTATACATTTTTGGGAATGTATTAAAAATAAAAAATGGAAATATGACATTTACATAAGTATTCAGACCCTTTACTCAGTACTTTGTTGAAGCACCTTTGGCAGTGATTACAGCCTCGAGTCTTCTTGAGTATAACGCTACAAGCTTGGCACACCTGTATTTGGGGAGTTTCTCCCATTATTCTGTGCAGATCCTCTCAAACTCTGTCAGGTTAGATGGGGAGAATTGCTGCACAGCTATTTTCAGGTCTCTCCAGAGATGTTAGATCGGGTTCAAGTCCGGCCTTTGGCTGGGCCACTCAGACATTGAGACTTGTCCCGAAGCCACTTCTGCGTTGTCTTGGCTGTGTGCTTAGGATCGTTGTCCTGTTGGATGGTGAACCTTCGGCCCAGTCTGAGGTCCTGAGCGCTCTGGTGCAGGTTTTCATCAAGGACCTCTCTGTACTTTGCTCCGTTCATCTTTCCCTCAATCCTGACTAGTCTCCCATTCCCTGCCGCTGAAAAACATCCCCACAGCATGATGCTGCCACCACCATGCTTCACCGTAGGGATGGTGCCAGGTTTCCTCCATACGTGACGCTTGGCATTCAGGCCAAAGAGTTCAATCTTGGTTTCATCAGACCAGAGAATATTTTTTCTCATGGTCTGAGAGTCCTTTAGGTGCCTTTTGGCAAACTCCAAGCGGCCTTTCATGTGCCCTTTACTTAGGAGTGGCTTCCGTCTGGCCACTCTACCATGAAGGCCTGATTGGTGGAGAGCTGCAGAGATGGTTGTCCTTCTGGAATGTTCTCCCATCTCCGCAGAGGAACTCTGGAGCTCTGTCAGAATGGCCATCGGGTTCTTGGTCACCTCCCTGACCAAGGCCCTTCTCCCCCGATTGCTCAGTTTGGCCCGGCGGCCAGCTCTAGGAAGGGTCTTGGTGGTTCCAAACTTCTTCCATTTAAGAATGATGGAGGCCACTGTGTTCTTGGGGAACTTCAATGCTGCAGACATTTTTTGGTACCCTTTCTCAGATCTGTGTCTCGACACAATCCTGTCTCAGAGCTCTATGGACAATTCATTCGACCTTATGGCTTGGTTTTTGCTCTGACATGCACTGTCAACTGTGGGACCTTATTTAGACAGGTGTGTGCCTTTCCAAATCATGTCCAATCAATTGAATTTGCCACAGGTGGACTCCAATCAAGTTGTAGAAACATCTCAAGGATGATCAATGGAAACAGGAAGCGCCGGAGCCCAATTCTGAGTCTCATAGCAAAGGGTCTGAATACTTATGTAAATAAGGTATTTCAGTTTTTTATTTTTAATACATTTGTCAGTATGGGGTATTGTGTGTAGATTGATGAGAATTGTAAAAAAATAAAAATAATAATTGAAATCCATTTTAGTATAAGGCTGTAACGTAACAAAATGTGGAAAAAAGGAAGGTGTCTAAATACTTTCCGAATGCACTGTATGTCCACTTCTTGCTCACAATGTTTAACATGTTACAGTGTTGCTGATCTTGAATGTAACCCTGATATAAGAGAAGCATTGTGCAGCTGGGAAACAATGCATTATGAATGCCAAGTGAACATGTATAGAAAGGAAAATAACTGACAATGTAGGAATTGTCAGGGATAGTATCTGGAAAGTAATGCATTGCAACAAGCTATGAAAATTTATATTTCGGGCCACCTGTCAATGTTGTAATACAGTGTTTCTCAATAATGGTCCTGGGGACCCAAAGGGGTATTTTAGATTTTTCCTAGAAATAAACAGCTGATTCAAATGATCAACTCATCATCAAGCTTTGATGATATAAATCAGGTGTGTAGTGCTAAGGCAAAAACAAAAGTACCCCTTTGGGTCCCCAGGACCAGGATGGAGAAACATTTGTAATAGATGTAAACAAGACACTTTTTCAACTGAATAGGCTGCTCTCAAAACCACCAAGAGCTAATGCCACAACAAAATAGTGCCAAACCCACCTTCCAACAGTGACCATCTCTGTACAACACAACTTTCGCCCAGAGAGCAGACATTTCGATACAGCTGTACAATATTCAAGCGCAAACCTGTTGAGTGAGGTCTTTCAGTTTTTAAGCACTATTTTGGCATTTTCAGCTTTGGAGTGTTAGGCCAAAAAAATCAGAGCAATTTCCATCTCTCCTGGAACACTGTCCTTTAGATTTTTACACGTTGGGAGTATAAAAACACCATCTGATGAAGACAACTGACCCTTGAAGCCCAGCGGCTCGGCCCTGTAGTACTTCTGCCAGTCCTGTCCGTAGCTAATGTAGTCTAGGTACCAGGGGGCAGAGAGGATGGTGGTGAAGCCTGCCTCTGTCACCTTCTGAAGCTCCTCCTCCACCTTGTTCCCCATCCACACATGCACTACCGTGTCCGACTTCAACTGCAAGTATTACACTGATTTGTTAGACTCAGAAAACATGTTTGTCTGTGTATTATTTGTGGATGTGGTGGTCAGACTTGGGTTTCAAATAGCCGATCGATTCAAATACTTTGAGCGTTTGCTTGAGTCTGAGGGAATTCGATTAAGCTTAATTGAATCCCCTCTCTGCCTGGAGTGCCAGATGGGTGGTATTTTCCGTTTTGGGACTTTTGTATTGGTCTATTCATCCAGGCAAGCTCAAACAGGCACAGATACACTGTACATAGACTTTAAGTATGTGAACCAAGGTCTGGTTGTTATCAGATAGAGTTGGAAAGGAAAAGCTAATACTAACAGGGGGGAAACTATAGAAGCCAAGCCATGAAGCTAAATGTACTACTATGTAAACACCAGGCAAGAAGTGAGTAAGGTAACTGAAGATATTTTGATTATAGAAATATCAGAATTTGATTTCAGAAACATCAGAGTGGCTGCTTTTCTCTCTTTCAGTGCTGATAACTGCTGTTGTTCAGTTACCTTTACTCCATTGTCAAATACCTCCTGCCAGATCATGTAGCCCTTGTTGGTAGTGGTGACAATATCCAAGAGCCTATCACGTGACAGAAAATAACCACATGATAATGTGAATAATTAAGCTTCAGAAAAAAAAGAGTGGAAATCAAGGAGTGGAAATCTTTGACAATATATGGATAAGTTACGGTTTCTCAGGTTGGCCGAATGTCTGATCAACGTAATTTGTTTAACTTTAAGGCCATGTCTGAATGAAGCCACACCTCTGGATGTAGAACGATTCCAGCTTGCTGTAGTCCGTCCCAAAGCCTTGCTGCTCCATGAACTTCTGGATGTCAGGGTTGGACTTCCTGTGGATCAGAGGCAGAAAGTAGAAGTGTTTTTATTGATGTGCTTGATCAAATCAAATCAAATTGTATTGGTCACATGCGCCAAATACAACAGGTGCAGACATTACAGTGAAATGCTTACTTACAGCCCTTAACCAACAGTGCATTTATTTTTAACAAAAAAAGTAAAAATAAAAACAACAACAAAAAAAGTGTTGAGAAAAAAAGAGCAGAAGTAAAATAAAATAACAGTAGGGAGGCTATATATACAGGGGGGTACCGGTGCAGAGTCAATGTGCGGGGGCACCGGCTAGTTGAGATAGTTGAAGTAATATGTACATGTGGGTAGAGTTAAAGTGACTATGCATAAATAATTAACAGAGTAGCAGCAGCGTAAAAAGGATGGGGTGGGGGGGCAGTGCAAATAGTCCGGGTAGCCATGATGTTGGCCAAGACACAGCCTACAGTACTGTTTCTGTGATTAATTTCCATTGACTGTCAAACAAGCCAGTATCACATGGCTGTTGGCTATTGACAATTATTGTGGTCATATAACTTTGTAGTGGATGAGGAGTCTGTGGTTCAGTGGGTGCTGAATATGTTAACTGTAACTCCCATTGGAAAGTGCATGTTAAATGTCCCTGTCTCACCAGCAGCTGAAGTCGACCTCGTCTCCTCCCAGATGGACGTAGGCATCAGGGAACACTGTGCTGACTTCCTTGAAGAACATGCTCATAAAGTCATAGGTGGTGTTGAGGATGGGGTTGACTGGTCCGAACGAACCAGAGGGGCTGGCTCCAGAGTAACAGGGGGTCAGCAGGTCCTTCTGCCCTGGAAGGGCATGAGTGAGAGGGGTGCATTCGAGAGGCAAGAGGAGTCATTTGGTGCAGATAAAACTAATGCAATATCAGGTAGCTGCATTTTTCAGTTAAATTCTTACAAAAAGATTATGAAAATGTGCATGTCTTAAAGACAAAAGACTACCCTGACCCCATAGAAATGAACCCCTCGATACAGCCAGAAAATGTTAATCTGAATGACCCCACATTCACCTTTGCCCCATGACTGAGTGTGCCCAGGGGTGTCAAACTCAGGGACAACCCGAATGCCCCTGAGGCGAGCAAACTCGATTATCATCTTCACATCAGAAGGCGTGTACACATGTGTGTATGGGTGGTATGCTCCCTGCAGTCATGCAATAGAAAAAGTTATCTACACACAATTGACATCTATATAAAACATGCATAATTTATGGACATGTACTGTACTTCATGATCACAATGAAGTTTAGACTGGTTATATATCCCTACATCTATGATTACAGATGTGTTAGCAATATGATGGCTCTACCTAGCCCTCCAATAGGCTTTGTGAAGCTCCGACCCTATCCTTTTCACTTTCGCTATATCACCTTCAATCATCTAGTCCTTTCAGGTGTGTGAAAACTGAAGGCATAGCAGCTGAAATGGGACCAAGATATCAATAACAACGCCCACCACACTCACCTGTTGACTCAGCTGGGGGAAGGTACGGCTCAGGTAGGGGAAGGAGGGGTCATCTACTATGTGCCAGTGGAAAACATTGAATTTGTTCCACGCCATGGCTTCCTGTGTATGGATCGGGGGAGAACAAGATGTTATGAGTATAACGTTATGTTATGTCATTAACAGAAATGGAAAATGATTTGATCATATGGCCAACACAAACATTTAACCATAACAAAGTGAACTGAAATCAGGATCTATGTATCATCCTCTCACCAGATTGGCTAAGATGACTTTGATGGGCAGGAAGTGACGAGAGGTGTCCAATAAGAGGCCTCGATGTGCAAACCGTGGGAAGTCGTGAATGTCTGTCCTATTGATGCTTTTCTGTGAAAAAAAAAGAAATGCAAAATTAAAGTATTATTGAAAAATTGCTACAATTTAAACTATTTACATATAATCACATGGCACTAATGCAAACTTACTGCTCCATATTCATCCTTATACACCAACTGGCTAAAAGTCTCCAGACCTAGCACATAGACAATGGTTAATCAACAGAGTCACAATCGCAACATGATTGCAAACACATGCTTTACAACTAGAGATGTGCATCTTTCCAGGATGTATGGGCTCCGATACGATACAGGAAAGATACGTTTTAGTTTAGTTTGAAATGATTTGTGAGATTCGGTTTGATGTGAGTTGTGTGTGTGTGTGTGTGTGTAAATGATGTATGTCTATGGTGTATGTACTATGTAGGCTCCTGTGTTGAGCCATAAGGGAGACTAGGCCTCTACCCCCCCCCCCCCCCCCCCCCCCCCACACACACACACACACACACACACACACACACACTTTGGTTCTGAATTAACTTGTCATTTTTGCAGATGAAGTGTTTGAGCTAGTATCAATGTATCAATATTTATCGTTTAGAAATGAGCTATGACATTAGCTATGACATAGCCAATGAATACATTGCAACACTTATGGAGTAAGTACTTTCTGTAGCTCTCAAGGTCTAGACACAAGAAACTCTGTAAGGCAACCACAAAAGTTGCACAAGGGTTATGAAACAAGTGAAATGTTCTAAGCACGCAGAACAATAAAGGGTTATTACAGTACGAAAATAGAGGAAGAAGTGACGGTCTTGAACAAACCTCTTCATCAGAATATAAACATAGTGTGTAGAATAAAAGCCATGACCCCTACCTCTGTGTGTGTGTGTGTGTGTGTGAATAAAAGCGAAGGACCCTACCTCTTAGAGCTCCCCACACCTTAGGTGCTTTCAGCACAGCAACAGGAGAGTCCACTGACAGTTCGTCTGTGGAAAGGCAGAGAGAACACAGTAAGTCCTATGTTTTTATTAATTTTTTTAAACATCTGATAATGCCTATTGATTCAAAGACATGCATTTGTCATCCATCCAGGTAAGTGAATGTTTCTTCTTTGATGTGTGAGTAAATACATTCACTTCTCTATTAGTTTGGGGCCTTGAAACTCGTCTATGACCAAACTTGCATGTGTACTACTGGTGTGCATTCATGAAAAAGTAGCTAAGGGTCTTTACAACAAAGATCTGAACATAGAATAAACCCATTATCTCCCAAGACAATCCAGGTAATCCCTCCGTAGGATAATCTCAATTGCATTTCCTTGATTCCTCGCGTCTGCTCTCCTCAACTCCTTCTCAAAACCCATTGGATGAGAAGGTCAGAGGTCCCTCCCTTCTGACCATCTCATCCAATGGGTCTCCCTCTCGGTCGACTACTGACGTATAATATACTGGCAGACTTAAGCCGTACTACAGGATAATACTCCCCTAAACACTGGTGTGGGATGATGAGACCCCGATCCTCAATCCCTCTGGGGAGGCCCCTCCATTATACTACTGAAGTCTCTGCCATTTGCATGTATCCTGCTTCAGTCCAAAACTTGAAAACATGGGTCCGTAGTCACAGAGACTCAGAAGTGCTGATCTAGGATTAGGTCCCCCCTGACCATATGCTTTAGAAATCAGATCCTGTATGAGCACACTCAAAGTCTTTGTGCATACGGACCCTGTCTTAGAACACCAGCACTCGCACTTGTCTTTTCTTACTAGCACTGACTTTGCTGATAGCGGTTTTATTGGGGTAAAATGTACATATTATGACTGAAATATGTAGTTGTCTCTCCTAGCTACCATAAGATGAATGCATTATAATTGTAAGTCGCTCTGGATAAGAGTGTCTGCTAAATGACTAAAATGGAAATGGCCTCCCGAGTGGTGCAGTGGTCTAAGGAACTGCATCGCAGTGCTAGCTGTGCCACTAGAGATCCTGGTTCGAATCCAGGGCGGCGCACAATTGGCCCAGCGTCGTCCAGGGTAGGGGAGGGAATGGCCGGCAGGGATGTACCTCAGTTGGTAGAGCATGGCGTTTGCAACGCCAGGGTTGTGGGTTTGATTCCCACGGGGGGCCAGTATATAAAATAATGTGTGCACTCACTAACTGTAAGTCGCTCTGGATAAGAGCGTCTGCTAAATGACTAAAATGTAAATGTAAATGGAAGACAAACACCATGCCTGGGCACTCACATGATTCGTCAGATGTCACACTGGGGTAGCTGTCACACTCCGAGTCAGCTGACGTGATCCACACCTGTAATTCAGATATGTCAGAGGCCAATGCCTTCTTGCTCTTGTTTTGCCCTTGCTTTCTGGAACTGGTAAAGATGTACTCATCATACCTGAAGGAGAAGTTAGGAGGAACAAAACCAGTGTATGTCATGTGTATTAGATATTTCTTGTGGAACTGTAGATATTACTTGCTAGATATTACTGCACTGTCGGAACTAGAAGCACAAGCATTTCGCTACATTCGTAATAACATCTGCTAACCATGTGTATGTGACCAATACATTTGATTTGATGTTGTTTATGTGACGATTGGTCTAGAACCCCAGGAAGAGAAGGAATGTAAGGGGAATTTCTATCCATAATATACTTCAGTGGCAAGTCATTTTTATTTATACATTAATTTCTCGTACTTCTGAAAAACTTTCAGATTGATACATCTGTAGGCCTAATTAAATCAAACGTGACTACCGGCATTTAAAGCAAACGTTAATTATTAAAATGGTCATCTGCAGTTCAAACAACAATAAGCACCACATTTTGGGGTAAACAGCTTTGGGTTGGGGCTGGAGAAATGTAACCACTCAAATTCATAAACTCATGAGGCAATTATAAGTTATATTCTTCAAGAATCAATGGGTACATTCATTTAAAAGTAAAACAGTTGCTGTAGCAACCGTATATTGCCACTTTAAAAGGAGTTCAAGCAAAACAAACAAATCATGAAAGCATGCTGATGCCTATTATTCACATGACTCAGCCGTCTTACCTTCTATATGCATTTTGAAGAAGTATGCAGCTTGCACCAGAAGACGATTCTTTAGCGTCGATTATATGGAAGTTAGCACCGCTGAGTTTGAATACTACCGTGGATATTTGGACTTTCTGAGGCAACGGCCAAAGAGATCCATACTGAGAATCAGTAGGCTCCTCGTCCATTTCAGCGTCATTATAATCATAATCTTGCGCTGCCCGGCAGACAACAAGCGCGAGCAACAACGCCGCAAACTTCAGCGTCGCGAACATGATGTGCTACGTTGTTGCCAGCTACCAGTCAGCTGACAACTGGCGAGACGGTAATAGATTCGAGAGGGCGAGGCTTGAATCAATGTGGAAAGAGAACAAATCGAATCTAGCAAATCATATAAGACATCTCACAATGAGACAGTACATCACTGAAAATCGAGCATTTGTTTGGTTGATGGTCAGGCAGCCAGTGAAATATGTGACCATTGGGACTGGCTAGATGACCTTACAATCTAGCTATCTGAGGACTTTCAACTCATAAATAATGGAAAGGAAATATAAATACATTATTTATGAGTTAGAAGTCCTCAAGATAGCTAGGCTATTTATTGTAAATACCTACTACAAGTATGAATGTCTAGAATATCTCCACAAACACATTACAACATGAATATGTTTATTTGCTCTCATCCCCACCGGATGGATTAAAGTCTTATTGCCACAGAAATAGATTATGGTTAAAAAAAGCATATGGACAAAAATACATAAGCAGGTTGAAAGGTAATCTAGCCAGTCCCTATGGTCACATATTACACTGGCTGCCTGAACATTGACCAAACGAATGTTCGATTTTCAGTGAGTGAGTACGATAAGACTTGTTAATATGACTCCTTGCTCTTTGAACGTTCTAGAATAAACCTTTTCTCAAACTTAAATTTTCTCCAGCAAGTGGCGATGTTGTCACAAAAACAGTTTTCATTCAGTATCACATCAACCTCAACAATATCTCCCCATTTCACAATTTCTAACTGGATGAATTATTTGTGACAATATGTTTCTGCAGTAAAACTTTTGGAATTTTGCAAATGTTGCTTGCCAATATGACCTATATCCATCTAAATCATACTGTGCCGTGTCTGTCCATTATATTTCACAAATATGAACTCATTTAGCTGTAAAGACCCTGGCAGGCAAAATGTACAGGGTCCCCTGTAGCTCAGTTGGTAGAGCATGGCGCTTGCAACGCCAGGGTTGTGGGTTCGTTTCCCACGGGGGGCCAGTATGGAAATGAATGCACTCACTAACGGTAAATCGCTCTGGATAAGAGTGTCTGCTAAATGACTAAAATGTAAAATGTACACTAGACTATGTTGGATCATGGCCAGGCCTCTGGTGACGTGTATATTGGCACACACCTACAGTGCCTTCAGAAAGTATTACATACCCCTTCTCTTATCCCACATTTTATTGTGTTACAGCCTGAATTCAAAATGGATTAAAGCAACAAAACAAATCTCACCCATCTACACACAATACCCCATAATGACAAAGTGAACACATATTTTTTGAAATGTTGCATATTTATTGAAAATGAAATACAGAAATATCTCCCTGAAATATTCATATCTCTGAGTCAGTACATGTTAGAATCACCTTCGGCAGTGATTACAGCTGCGAGTCTTTCTAGGTATGTCTGTAAGAGCTTTGCACACCTGGAATTGTACAATATTTGCCCATTATTCTTTTCAAAATTCATCAAACTCTGTCAAATTGGTTGTTGATCATTGCTAAACAACCATTTTCAAGTCTTGCCATAGATTTTAACTGTAAGTCAGTCTTTTTGGTAAGCAACTCCAGTGTAGATTTGGCCTTGTGTTTTACATTAATGTCCTGCTGAAAAGTGTATTCATCTCCCAGTGTCTGGTGGAAAGCAGATTGAACCAGGTTTTCCTCTAGGATTTTGCCTGTGCTTAGCCCCATTCCGTTTATTTTTTATCCTGAAAAACTCCTGATAGAGAAATATGTATTTCCAATTACATCATCAACCAATTAGTAGACAATTAGTAGGCAATTAGTAGGCAATACCTACTCACAATTGGTCAAAACCACATGAATGCACACCGATGATGTCATTGGAAACACTTATCTTCCTCTATGTTTTTAGGACAAAACATAGAAATGCACAATTTTCACATATGTTGATGTTGGGGTGGTGCAGGAGATGATGACTATGAAGTTGAAAAATTGTGAAGCTTCCCTTTAAGGATGTTGACTTCATGGAATTCAAATGTAGCCTAATATAAATTTTATTTTGTGCATTTTATCATCCAGTAGGCCAAGTATGGTGTGCAAAAAATATGAACTCAAATGCCTACATTACAGAGTGTAGGTAGGCTATAGGCTCTATATGCCTACTGATGGATCAGGATCCAATTTGTCTGTTGAGCATCCGTTTGTAATAAAGGGCACAGTTCTGCAGGTGAGTAAATATTACCAGTCTTGGATTTGAGTCGGCTGACTCTTTCTCACTCACTATTTAACTGTTTTATTACCTCCCCCTTCTTTCTGCCTTCCCTTGTCATCCTACTGCCTCTGCCTCTGCTGCTGCTGCTCCGTTCGCATCACGCTAGGCTACTTCCCACTCCGCTTCCTCGACACGAGGACGTTCCTCCCCCTTTCTCACTATAAACACACCCATTGATTTTACGGAGGGAAGACCCGACTCACCCGAGCGCACGGTACGCACTAGCGACATAGAACTCCTATATGATCAGACGCAAGTCTGGAGTCAGTCCGCGAGCGCAAACCTTTATCTTTATTCCTTTAAACTGGACTGAACGACGAATGTTGAACTGGAGATCTCATCACTGAACGACACATTTGCATGATTCGACTCCATTGACATCTCTATAGGGATAGAAATAGTGTCCAGATCCTCTCCAAATAAGGCTATTTCATATTGAGGAACCCAAGACGCGCATACTCCCAAGCACAAGTGGCTTGTTTGAACCAGCATCGTGGCTACTCTTCCAGCAGTGGCATGTTCGAAGGATAAAGCGGACAAAATTGAACTCCTACTTTCACCCAAAGAGGTATGCATGGCACATATTTTCCACATTTGAGAATTGTTATTGCCATTATTGTTGCTGTTGTGATATAGGCTCCATGCATGGAGGAGCTCTGATAGAGCATTTGAGAAGATCACATCTACCATTATTGTGTATTTTTTTGGGGAAACGCCTAATTTAAGAACAAAGCCTAAAGACACCTTCCTGTAATGTATTTTGCAGCATGACACTTAAATAAATTCCTCAAACATATGTCTAGGAGATGCCATATTATAATAATTTAGAGGACAATATTCAGAGGGAACGTTATGTTTTACATTTGCAATATCATGTTAATATTCTAGGCTGCATGTATTCTAGCATACTTCAACGAGAGAAGCAAGACAAAGCGAAGATTGAGATCATATAGCCTAAAATGTGTTATTTTTAGGGCACGAAGAGGAGTTTTAACATGTGTATGTCGTTTATAAATATCTTCAAGCCAATCCCATCTAGAAACACTGAGGCTATATTTATAAACAGAAGAAATCATCCCTTGAAATTGTAACCCTTATATTGTGTTGTCTTCTCATTGATTAAACCCGGTCTATTCTGAATGGTCTCCCTGGGTGCCGTTCACAGCTGCTCCCGGTGTAACCAGATTAATGGGGGGGCATCAGGTGCGATATAGTGCCAACATAGCTGCTGATGTGTCTTTAATGTACCTTATTCGGTTAAATTCGGTAAGGAACACAATTTTAGTCCAGTGGAGCGTTGGGTTTAATAACACAATTAACCTCTCGCGCAGAGACGGTGACAGCCAGTCGGGGACCGCCGGCATTGTACTGGTTACATGACAATTAGGACTGATTGGATTTGAATATACACTCGCGATGACGGCTGTTTACACTGACGGGTTATGTTGACATCTTGCCCAGTGATAGGGTTTATTTTTCCTGTAGCCATTGGACAGTTATAGGATACACATGCCTTGCTGTTTACTTTTGAAAGTTTTCTCCCTGAATAGTATCCCTGGTCCACTTTGAACACCTGGCAATGATTAGACAGATTCCAGCCAGCCCCAGACATCAGATCAGACATGGTCTGTGTGTGTGTCATGACATCATCCAGCACAGCAGCTATCTGTCTACCTGTCCCAGTCATATCAGCGTCTCTGGCAGATAGGCATTGCTTTCTTGATCCCAGCCCAGGGAGTGACCCTGCTGATATTGATCATATCACACACTCCCCATGAAATCAAAATGAGACTGAGAGTCTGCATCCCAAATGGGACCATATTCTCTATATAGTGCACTACTTTGACCAGGGCCCATAGGGCTATATAGGGAATAGGGGGCCAATTGGGACGCAACCTGAGAATGAGATGGAGACTCACTACCCTTAGGACTGTGTAGAGATGAGTAATACACTCTAACAGGGTTTGGCTTGGCTTGGACTAGCTTCCATTTATATTCAGGGTTTCTGGTTAGAAAAGGGACTTTGAACTGTAGGCTATATCCCCAGGCTTTAAATATATTATCATGCATTATTCTATCATGTTTTTGTATGGGTTTCCATATGTTTGTATGGGTTTTCATTTTAGAATCACCCATGCCACTGGCTATGTCTATTACTTGATTATTATACAGTATAATAATGTAAATACAATTCAGAATTTTGTTCTCTTTCTCCAGGATTCAATGAAAATGTCTGTCTGCGTCCATGAGAACCGCAAGTCACGTGCCAGCACCGGCTCCATGAACATCTACCTGTTCCACAAGTCGTCGTACGCTGACAGCGTCCTCATGCACCTGAACACGCTGCGGCAGCAACGTCTCTTCACCGACGTCCTCCTCCACGCCGGGAGCCGCTCCTTCCCCTGCCACCGTGCCGTGCTGGCCGCCTGCAGCCGCTACTTCGAGGTAAAGACACTGTTTACCAAGGCAGGGAACTGTTAGTGTTTCCCATTGGAAAACATGTCACTTTTAGCTGCCATGCTAACACTAGCTGGGCTAAATGCTAATGAGCTAATGCGCTAACTCTTGGTTTCCCACCCCCTTGTTTGTCTGTCAGGCTATGTTCTCTGGAGGTCTCCGGGAGAGCCAGGCCAGCGAGGTTGACTTCAGGGACTCCATCCACCCTGAGGTCCTGGAGCTGTTATTAGACTACGCCTACTCCTCCCGCGTGGTCATTAACGAGGAGAACGCAGAGTCCCTCCTGGAGGCCGGGGACATGCTGGAGTTCCAGGACATCCGGGACGCCTGCGCTGAGTTCCTGGAGAGGAACCTGCACCCGTCCAACTGCCTGGGCATGCTGCTGCTGTCCGACGCCCACCAGTGCACCAAGCTGTCCGAGCTCTCCTGGGGCATGTGCCTCAGCAACTTCCCCGCCATCTGCAAGACGGAGGACTTCCTGCAGCTCCCCAAAGACATGGTGGTGCAGCTCCTTTCCCATGAGGAGCTGGAGACAGAGGACGAGAGGCTGGTCTATGAGGCCACCCTCAACTGGGTCAACTACGACCTGGAGAGGAGGCACTGCCACCTGCCGGAGCTGCTGCAGACCGTCCGCCTGGCGCTCCTCCCTGCCATCTTCCTCATGGAGAACGTGTCCACGGAGGAGCTGATCAACGCCCAGTTAAAGAGCAAGGAGCTGGTGGACGAGGCCATCCACTGCAAGCTGAAGATCCTCCAGAACGACGGGGTGGTGAACAGCCCCTGCGCCCGGCCCAGGAAGACCAGCCACGCCCTGTTCCTCCTGGGAGGGCAGACCTTCATGTGTGACAAGCTGTACTTGGTGGACCAGAAGGCCAAGGAGATCATCCCCAAGGCGGACATCCCCAGCCCCAGGAAGGAGTTCAGCGCTTGCGCAATCGGCTGTAAGGTCTACGTGACCGGTGGGAGGGGCTCGGAGAACGGTGTGTCCAAAGACGTGTGGGTCTACGACACCGTGCATGAGGAGTGGTCCAAGGCGGCGCCCATGCTCATCGCCCGCTTCGGCCACGGGTCAGCCGAGCTGAAACACTGCTTGTACGTGGTTGGAGGACACACGGCAGGCACCGGCTGTCTCCCCGCCTCGCCCTCGGTGTCCCTGAAACAGGTGGAGCAGTTCGACCCGGCGACCAATAAGTGGACCATGGTGGCGCCGCTGAGGGAAGGCGTGAGCAACGCGGCGGTGGTCAGTGTCAAATTGAAACTCTTCGCCTTCGGAGGCACCAGCGTCACCCACGACAAACTACCCAAGGTGCAGTGCTATGACCCGCAGGAGAATTGCTGGGTGGTACCCGCCTCCTGCCCGCAGCCCTGGCGCTACACTGCCGCCGCCGTCCTCGGCAACCAGATCTTTGTGATGGGCGGGGACACAGAGTTCTCTGCATGCTCGGCCTATAAGTTCAGCAGCGATACCTACCAGTGGACTAAAGTGGGAGACGTGACGGCCAAGAGGATGAGCTGCCAGGCCGTGGCGTCAGGTAACAAACTCTACGTGGTGGGGGGCTACTTTGGCACGCAGCGGTGTAAGACTCTGGACTGTTATGACCCGACGCTGGACGCTTGGAACAGCATCACTACCGTACCCTACTCCCTCATCCCCACTGCCTTCGTCAGCACCTGGAAACATCTCCCAGCCTGAGCCGGATGGCATTCTGGGATAGCCCCACACCTCCATCCCAACCCCCCCCCAGATGGAGATCTATGGGAGATCAGTCCTCCGGGAGATGGATGAGAGTTCTTTCTCGTCCTCTCTCTTCTGAGATCTCTATACTATGAGGAGAAGATGTCCGATCTCATCTCTCGATAGATCTATCTTCTCTATCTCTCGCTTCTCTCTCTCTCTCTGTGCTGTGTCTATCTCGAGTGTCTCTCTCTGTCATTTCTTTATCTCTCTTACTCTCTCTCTCTCTCTCTCTCTATCTCTCTCTCTCTCTCTCTCTCGATCCTCTCGCTACTCCTCTCTCTCTCTCTCTCTCTCAGTGTTGTTGTTTGTTACTGTCTGTCAGTAGGGGAACGAGATGGAATGCATAATGTATTAGTGATACTCTGGACAGTCCAAACTGGAGAGTCCAAGTGATTTCAAGTATTCTCAGCTGAGCTGAGTGCGTAAGACAGTTTCTTGTTGTCAGTTTTTCCCCAAAATTTTCTTCACTTAGTCACATATCTATTTGGCTGTGTTTTGAGCTCACATTGTCACATACTGGGATGTTATTAGTAAAATTCCCAGCTCATAGGTTAAAGACAGCTGTTTTCATTCAATAGCCAGTAGATCAAAATCCCATTCTCCCTCTGTCACCCTACAAAGATCCTGATTGAATCAAGCACAAATGGACTATTGATAGAGTAATTAGATTGCCATGCGATTTTGGCCAGGGCTGAACTGCATGCTTTGAATACTAACCAAGCAGCCGCTGCTATTTGATTTCTGTCTGTCGATTCCACTGAAAACCACAGATACAGGGATAAACAAAATGCATCAGACCACAGATTTCACCATAGCTGGATATCCCTTTGTATCTGAGCGTGTGTGTGTGTGTGTATTTGAGCATGTGTGCGGGGGTCTGTGTGGAGAGAGGGGAGTGAGTGGTAGGATAGAATATAGGGGATTGTATGTGTAGGTTATGAGAGTTATGAGACCGCAGGGTTGGGGTGAGGCAATTTTGACTTTGCAGCTGGCCTAAGGGGAAATCGCTCAGTTCTGCCTCCAGGACAAGACTCATGACAATAAACTTCAACCTGCACGAGGCAGCGAGGGAGGAGGCACACAGGGGGTAATTGAAACAGAATAGAATACTTTTATTATCCCTGTGGGTGACATTTGTCTGAGGGGGTTGAGGGGGGAGGCCAATTAGACAAGTTACATGCCGGCAGGCTACAACATCCTGGTGAGGCTAATCCACTCTCAATCGCCTCCTTTTGATGGGTTTATGGTGCTCTGGGTGGGAGGGAGAGAGGGAGGGAAGAGAGGAAAGAGTGGGAGGGAGAAATGTAGGGAGGGAAGAAACGGGAGGGAGGGACGGAGGACGGGAGGGAGGGAGAGAGGGGGATGGGGGAAAGAGGGATTGAGGAAGGGAGGCAGCCAGCAGCTCAGGGAGGCAGACTGCTGCTCTTCAGTTGCAGTCTGGGGTTACTGAGATGAGGAGAAGGCAGAGGGTGGTAGTAGGGAGTAGTGGGGAGAGAGTAAGGCTTTGGCATTTGTCTTTTAGAGAGAACGCGGCTGCACAGCCATGCAGACAAGCAAAACACACAGCCAGTACACTCCGGCCCTGACAAATAACAGTGCCTGGCCTGGAAGTGAGTGTTTACTGTTGCTCTGAGCAGCCCCAGTCTCCCCCACCTCTCCCCCACTTCTCCCCTGTGCCCTGTGTCTGTCTGTGTGTGTCTGCATAGCCTTATAGTAACCACTCTCTGTCTCCGTGACGATAAGCAGGCCAGACGGATGTAGAGCACAACCATGGCCCCCAAATTGTGCCCTTTTCTTTTTGAACCTTTGGTGAACTGTTGTCCCCGCTTTTGACACCAAACAACGAGAGCAGAAAGGAAACCATGAAAACAAAAGAAGAATTATTTCCAGCCTTTGGGAAATGGCTGGGTTCCTCAGCTCAGAAAAGCCCCAAAAAGGGAGGGAGAGACAGAAGAGAGGAAAACAAGAAGAGGAGGGGACAGGAGGGAGGGTTAAATAGATGATCAGGCCTGGGGTTATAGTGAGCCTCTCACTCCACTATTCCGCTCCCTTTTTGAAAGCTCCCTGATTAAAGTGCTCAAATTTTTCTCAGTGACTCATCTCTGAAACTGCAGTGAAGGCTTTAACCTAGACCAATGCAAAATGACTGATTTTGGGTGTACAATTATTTCAGTGTCAGTCACTGATTTAAAATTTAAGGGTGATCCTCTTTTCGGTAGGTGCCATTTTTCTGTTATCAGTTATAGTGTGGAGCGGTGACTACACAGAGACACAATGACAGTGATGTATTACTGTCCACTAAATAGTGGGAGGGGAGGAGAGAAGGGTGAAAAACAGATCTCTCCTCTTCAGTTTGTCTGTTCTCACACTTTTTGGGTGTCAACATTCCCAGGGGGACTCAACATTCCACTTTTCCCCCCACTACCTGATCCCTCCCGACGTACCGCCCGGCTACGCCCGCCCTCATCCCCGCCCCGGAGCACCCCCCGCTCCACGGCCCCCCGCGCGTCGGCCCCGCCCCGACGCGGCCCGCCCCCACGCGGACGCGGCCCGCCCGCGGGGCGACGCGCCCCGCCCGCGCGCGACGCGGCCCGCCACCCGACACCGCCCCCGCCGCGCGGAGGGCCCCGCCCCGCGCGCGGCCGCCGCGCGACGGGGCCCCGCCCCGGGACAAAAGGGCCCCAGAGGGCGGAACGCGGAGACCCCGACAGCACCCCGGAGCCGGGGGAAAACCCCGGACAGGGAAGAAAAGCCAGCGAACGGAAGACGCCAACCGGCGAACGAAGAGCGACCCGAAGCGCGCGAGCCGAACCGCGCGCGAGCGCCACGCCCAGCCGCGGCACGGCACCGCCCAGGAGACGCCGGCACCGCCGGACGCGGAAGCAGCCCAGGACAGCGAGCGAAGCGGAAAGAACGCGCGTAGGCGGAAAGGCAGGGAACGCACGCACCAAAGAGAGAAGAGAAGGACACATCTCAATTCGACTCCTCTCTTTTCATGCATACGAAGAGGACCCCTACACTCTCCCACACTAATCTAAAGACAACAGATATACTATCCACTCCTACTAAGTCCCTGCACCATCTCTATATACTTCCCCTCCTCTCCTCCCGCTACTCTTCCCTCCCCTCTCTACTCTTCCCTCCTCTCTCTACTCTTCCTTCCCCTCTCTACTCTTCCCTCCCCCCTCTACTCTTCCCTCCCCTCTCTCTTCATCCCTCCCTTTCTCTTGCTCCCTCTATCAGGTCTAGTCTGTCCTGCTGGCTTGTACTGGTTAGAGCCCCACTAGGAATCTGGTGTCAAGCCAATTCATGTTTTTGTTCAGTGATCAGCTTTAGTCTCGCAAGGGTGCCAATATTGATCAAATCCAATTTGTTATCGTTCCATTTTGTAACTCCCAAGGTTGGTAAGGACTAGGGAACTATAGGGTATAGAATCTCCCAAAATCTGAAATGAGGATTCTTTTATCAGTCAGCTAGCTCATTCCACTCATGCGTTGGAGAGGAGAGAGATGCTTCCTTCGCTATGCTATGACCTCCAGGCAGATATCCCCATCACTACGCCAGTATAACTAGATATTTTCTGTAAGCCTAAATGAGAAAGGCCTCTTCTGGGAGGAAGAGTTGGCTTCTTGCATAGGATGTTCGGGCGCGACCGTTATGCACTCATCTCTGTGTGTGTGTGTGTGTGTGTGTGTGTGTGTGTATGTGTGTGTGCGTTTCCTCTAGCTACCACAGCCAGTTGTAAGATTGGGTTTCCCCCTCTAGATAGGGCCACATGGGAAGAAGGCGAGAGAGATTGGGGAGGAGGATATGTTTTTAAAATGGATATTAGACTCGTGTTACACATGGGGCCTTCCCTAGGCTATAAACCATCTGGGGTGTAATGCTGAAAAAAGAAAAAAGAAAGCTTTTAAAACCGAAAAGTCAGAATGAGATGCAGAGCAGAACTCAAAGGCCGTCAAATTTGAAATATCTATCTGGATTTAGATTTGGGGGAGCGTTAAAAAGAAGCCTAACTGTGTCGGGAATGGCAGTAAAGTGAATGAATTTCACAAAGGAGTCCATTAGCCTTCTAGCCTAATGCGTGATATCTCTGGCACTTCTCTAGAGAAACAGGTGCAAACGCCACAGCAGGCAAAGCAGTGTCTGTTTCGTTTTTTTACTGAGGGGAGAAAGAGAAGGAGTGAGGGGGACAGTAAGGGAGTGAAGATAGGGTCTGGAGTCTATTTGAGGGATTTTTCCGTCCAAACGTTTGACTCTTAGCAAATGTGTTAAATTGTCTACTTTTGAGCCTTTTTTCGAGGCGCGAAAGCAGAGATATTTTCCATGACCTCTTAAACACTGTTTGTCTAATGTTTTTTTTTTTTCTCTCTCTCCTTTTTCCTCAGATTTCTCTGTTTTGCATCATCCACTGGATTCCAGATGTGAAGATAGAATCACACTCTTTAACTTCCTGTCTGTGCAATAAAAAAAAACGACTTTCTAATTTTCTTCCATGAAAAAAACTGAACCATGGTGTAAGTGTGAAAACGCACATTGATCCACCCTAATGCTACTGTGAGTTTACAGATGTTTAAAGAACTATCAATGCTCCTGAGAGGACCTTGTACACAGAATGATGTCATAATGTCAATGATGTCATATCGTTTTTGAGAGAGAGGTTTGGACGTTATTCATGCAAACAAACCCAACAACCTGCTGCTTGTGCTGTAAGATCCAACAACCCCCTAATCCCAGTGTACTATCGGCATACCGCGCCTGTGCTTCTCAGCCTTCCATGAAACACCCATCAACATATCAGTCAGTCACACACTCACACTGCCTGGATTTCTTTCCATTCAATCATGAAATACTTGTACTACGGACTATGTCTTTGCTCTTCTCACTCTGATAATTCTGTGATATGAAATTAGAAAAATTAATGTAAAAACCCTCTGTACAGGGCCTTTAATTTAATAGCATGAAGGAAGTTTGTCCTGTTTGGACATAGGATACATGTGAGGAGAGGGGAGAGACCTTGATCAGCATGTGAGTGAC